GATATTCAATAGGTGACACAGTCCACGTTCGGAAAGAAAATCATCACGGGTTATAGGTTCACTACAACAGAGGATAACTGGATGTCTGTTCCACATGGTCGATTTTCGAAATCGCTAGAATATTCTTTTTATTGCGTAGGTTGTATGACGACATCGTAATTTACGAAAGGGTGGATGCCGAAGAATCAGAAATACCATTTATAAGCCGGTAGAAAATGATGGGGTTTAATTTCATGTAGAAACATTGACGTCAAAGTGTCAGGAGGTTCTGGGCCACAAGAAGCATCATCATAGGAATGGATTTCTATAGCAAAACTAGACATGATCAAAGTAAGGAGGAACAAGAAGATAGCGATTAACGACAGCGAAACACGAGAAGATATTTCAAGCACAAGCCGATTACACAGGAGCAAAAATACAAGTAAAGAAGAGAATTAAAGCTGACAAAAAGAAATACGAGGAAGACCTAGCAATGACGGCTGAAAAACCTTTAAGAGAAGGAAATATGAAGCGAATATATGATACAACGAGGAAACTAGCAGCTACATATAGTAAAACAGAGTGACGGGTCAAGGACAAAGAAGGCAGCTCAATCACTGAAATTCAAGAACAGAGGAACAGATGGGTAGTGCACTTCGAGCAACTCTAAATAGACCAGCTCCATTGAATCCACCATACATCGAAGCAGCGCACACAGACCTTCCTATAGCTGTCACCCCACCAACGATCGAGGAAATCGGGATGGTCATCAGACAAATCAACAGTGTGAAAGCAGCAGCACCTGACAGTATTCCAGCTTAGGCACTTGAGTCAGACTCGGAAGTAACCACAACTATGGTTTTCGTTCTATATAGGACGATTTGGTGGGATTTACATTGCAGAAATTGTCATACTGCATCACAAAGTAAGCACTAATTTGCATTTGGTAAGGGATGGTGGAAAATGGTAAAGTTAATAATCCACTGCGTCGTGAATTAGAAGGAGACATGGAATGAATCTGTAGCAACTAGAGGCAGCTTGCAAGTTTGTTCAGGATAGAGTTAGATGTGGAATGCTAGTATGCGGCCTATGCTCCTCTATGAGGTATAAAAGGCATAAGCATATGGGTAATTAATCTTCGATGTTGTCAATTAGTTTAGAGTTAAACAGTAACACTCATGATAAAAGGTCCAACTGAGAATGATGGAACTTTCTTAATATAAGTGCTACCATGTCCAAACTGCTCAGCTAGCACAGAGGAACATTAACTCTGAAGATAACTCCTTCCACATAGTCACCTTGTGCTCAACGAATATCGCGATAGGAAACTGTTCTGTGTTGTAGCAATCATATATCAAATAGCCTTGCACATTAATTCGATTCACGACAGATAATGATCGAAACGATAGACTAAAGGAAATTTCCGGGGATCATTGGATAGCTAACCAGCATGTTCTTTTTCCCCTTTTACCGATAATGTACCTAGGTTCCTGCCTGCAGCTTTTGGTGATGCACTGCTACCAGAAATGGAAGCTCGATCAGCGAAAGCTTCTTCTATTCCGTCCAAAACCATCTGAACCATTCTGACGCTTGATAGTTCAGATGTAGAATATGAAATCGGCATACAATTGAAGCAGCGGTTAGTGAGCCACTTACACTTAAAAATAACCGTGGTGATTAATGGAACGCGATTTTAGCGACCATAAAATCTCTCAGACATATATCTTCATGCTTAAGGAATGACATAACTGGCATACTTCAGGAGTTGTAAAACACAGGGCATTTATCACAGTGTCTCATTCGGTAATGTGGAAGCTGAGATAGATCGGTTGTACAAAGCAAGTTGGCTTTGATTAATAGATTGTTATAAAAGGCGCCGAGGGATCGGTCACACTTAGCAAACTCATCTCACGAGCAATGTTTCTAATCGGTTATTTCCCAAGGAATTTGTCAAACATCTCCATGCTTAAATCTGTTTGCGACCCTTCAAACAGATGGTGCTATAAAGAAATATGGATAAATGAGATAAAAATAAGTATTTACCTTCACATCAACGTAAAGAGACTAAAGTGAAATAGAAAAGCTTGGTAACACATACTTCCAGTTTGAAATGATAATCATGGTTCTCTTTGAAACCAGGCTCTCTTCACTCATTACAGATGATGAACAGAGCCTGTAAATAATGAATTTATTAATGTGTGACAGGTAAAGCAATACAGGAGTTGGAGTGGTGATATACGTCACTCAAGGGAAACAATTTCAAATAATTTTGATAAGGTTAATTCAAAGGAGTCTAATTAGTGCTGTATTAGGGCTTACGGCAATATTTCACAGCCCAAAACAGGCAGTCGTCAACAGGGATAATAGATCCTTCAAGTGCTATCAATATTACTCATATCAGTGAATCCGAACGCTTCATCTTGATGTCACACGAAGGATGATCTAAAATCATCAAGCTAGTTTAACAAGCAAATAATGTAGACTAACCGTTCTACGGGACTCGTTGACCTTATGGAGGACATCAAACGACTGATCAGGTTGATAGACTATTCGGACTAGACTTTCCGATCTTGATTGACTGACTTTCAGTTGCAGACGTTTATGTGTTCTCTCCCACATGCCACAGTAATCGCGCCGAAAACAAAATCTTCATGGTTCTCAGCTGATTGTTGGTATGGAACAAGACCAATCCATATTTCTAGCACAGTCATTAAGACTTCGCTTTGCAATGCTTTTTTGGCCTCAAAACAATGTAGGATTATAAACTAATCAATATTAGGGCATCGTGGAGACCATAAGAAATAAGGGTTTAGAAGAATGTTTCAAAGAAAAGGATTTTAAGCATTATACAACTCAAGTCGAGTTCCTTACTGATCTTGAGGCATCAAATTCCTCCTAACAAAACTTCATAAACAACTAAATGATGTATAACGCCATGGAGGTCAAACGGATACTTCCACAAAGATACTTCCGGGGAGCAGCATACCGGTAACACCAAGCCAAGTGTTACAGATAAGACTAATCGTCAGGTTGCAATACCATACGCCTCATCATATTGGGAGTAATTCCTGAAGCGTTTTTTCACTCAATATGTTACCTTTTACTACACTTCATAGAACTTGAACCGTTACTGAAGTAGCAAGAAGTTGGTATTCCACTCAACAATTTTCAACAGTAATATGTAAAGTAAGCTGTTTTATGTCTGTAACGCTGTTCCCGTTACTCCAAACTGATGGAGTTGAGTGAATAATCCAACTAGGTAGGTAATCAACCTCCATAAAGCATTGTAGCGGTAAATACATCCCCAAAAGAAATAGCTCAGTAGGTTTTGGACATTGGATGCTGATCACATTAGTTGTAATAGACTCATCTAACTGAAGGCGCTCGGTCATGCATCCGCACCAGATCACGTGTGGGAACGCCATGCTCAACATTAACTACAATCGCTAGCCAGATTAGATCAGACGATGCTCAATATATTGATAGCCTATTAAATATATCTTCGAACCTCCTCGCTTCTGTCTTTTGATTTCACTTGGTGTTACTGGTTGAAGCGTCATCAAACTCCGAATACCTGTAGCATCTTCAGCATGATACAGCCCTGGGAAAGGCATTCTATGGTAAATGATATGCCCTCATTAGACAGTTGGAAATAGTGTTAAGACTACAAGTTGCCTGAACATGAATTATTTCGGGACCTAATCACGGAGTTAGAAACTGTTCCATGCTCTTTTCTTTTGGTGAAAATCCAAATATTTGGATTCACAGAGGTTCTCTTTTCTTGGCTGAAGAACTATCTGTAGGGTAGAATTGTGTAAAACCAAACTGGAAGGTATCTGTGTCTGGGTTTCGTTCAGGCTTTATACTATGCTTTTTAGTCCTCAACTTTCACCATTGATCTTTAAGTGAACCTCAGCTATACAGTATTCTTCAGCATGAACAGTGTCAAACTATATGGAACAGTAATTTGTAATTCACAAGAGAACTAAAACTACTACACAAGCGAACAAAAAAGAATGGTTTAACATGCGATCTCCAAATGTCTACAAATCTTCAAACTTACAACATTGTTGCAGTAACTGTCCACAAAGAAAATAGAAATTTCTTGGGATATGCATGGAGGCAAGCCAAAAGTTATGTTGTAGGATGAACGGACAGACTCTCTGAAGATTGAATTCTCCAGCTGGACTTTTTCTTCCAAGTTTGAAGCAAAGTACGAGATTCACCTTACCCCTTGTCATCCCCTTTATCTATTCTCTATTGTGTGCGTTTTCATATTGTTTGAGTAAACACTCTCAGATTCATTCTGACTATTACCTTCTCTTCTACGCTCTTTATCCAATTTTTATAGTTTTCATGTTGGAACAAACCATTTTCTTCCCCGGTAGCGTAATTGTTGCTGGTCTCAGCAACTCCACTGCCATAAGATAAACGCAATTGTGAATGAGAAAATAACCGTTGATCAACTATCAGATCTATTAGTAGTATCACAGCCAAGTAGCTAGACAACTCACACTGAACAGAATCATGGGCCTTGAACTATACCGCAATATCAAGAAGCAGGGTAAAAGAAATTGATCGATAAATGCAAGCTCCTTGAAAATATATCGGGTAATGAAAACAAGTATAAAGATAGCCAGTTTGCTGCGAAATGTTTATCTGGGTCAAATAGTTGTTGCGAGGATCTGGCTCTGACGCCTGGCAGAGTGTCTCCACCTAGAATGTATCTAGTAAAACTAATAAGGTCAAGATCAATTGAGAAGACTTAAAGACTTAATTAATTATTTATCTGTCCAGATAACTTCCCTTTGGCGGAATAGTAATGACTCGAAAGTTTAGACCTTGCAAGGTTTAAGTTAGTAGTCTTTTTTAATGGCTTCTTAAGACATGTAATTTTAGCTTAATATTAATATGTTGTAACATATGAAAATTTGATCGTCAGTGAAATATTGGAGATACGTTGTTTTAGGCGTTAGTTTCAATAATCATAAGGAGTTATCACTCTTACATTCTAGATTTCAATGGATCCAGGTGTTTCCCAGTTAGCGATTGAATGCCAACATATAAGTAATGTGACGAAAGAACTTGAGTTTCTCTCACTATTGCTTACACATGCTACATCTTATAATAATATGGAAATTAATATGCCTGAAACAAGCGGCATGAAAACATTCTTTAGGATTTTAAGTCGTATATGCAGAGATTGTGGAGGCATTTGGACAATAAATGAAGAGCTGGACTGGTAAGTAACTTTAATTTTTTTCTCGTTTCATAGGTTTACTCACGACTACTTCTCGTTGATAAGTTCATATTGTTGGTCGCTCTCTTACGAAGTATAAGTTTTTGTATAAATGTTCTGCTCTGTAGTTATTCCTTCGATTTATACGCCTTTTTCTTTCTTAAATCTATCTGCAGATTGTTATCACATCATTTTTTCAGCCTTCAATTAAATCTAAGTGGAACGCATGACTCATATATATACATATAATCTATTATCTATTTAACGAATGTCCGGCTAAAACTTTCTTTTTGCAAAAATGTCTCTTCACTGAGTATTTTGATCTTTTAATTGCTTCAATCTTTGAAGGTGATTTCCATGAAAGCATATTAGTGTATGAAGCTATCAAACGACCTTAAAAGCAAAACTTGAATTTTATGACTGGATAGAATAGTGTTCGTTACCAGCCTTATGACATATGCTATTCCCTGAGGTTCTTTAATTATATACCAAATTAAGGTTTTATTCACACTCATCACATACTACAGTCTCACCAATCTGGAAGAAACTTTTAAGTCTATCTTTGCAGCGCAGTATGAATCAAACTACATGGGCCTTAAAAAAGCAATGTAGACTGATACTGTTGAATGTTTTTAGAAAATTCCATAAAGTGACCTGTATTGGGCACCAATAAACATTTCAGTATTGGCTTTGAGCCACGAACAGTCCTTAGGCGTAGTGTATACCTTTTATTCTTCACCTTACATTTAGTTGAGATGAAACCTACTTCTCTGCCGCTGTTTTAACAAGAGTTGAATTGTGTTTTTGCGGCTGTTAACTTTCATCAGTTAATTATTTTGAGACTGGATGTCGGTTTCCTTGTTTTAATGACTTAAAGGAAAGTGTCATAAAAAATATGAATAGCCTCATTAAATAATATAGGATCATACAGTTTAATGTTCTATTATTTTTAACACTGTAAATTTGTTGGCGACTATTTCACTTAGGCTGCCTTAATAAAGAGTTAAAATAGAAGATACAAATGTCCTACATTAATCGTGAACTGAAGTATTTTGTGTGCTAAGCAGTTCCTACAACAATAATGTACAAAACGCATGAGTCGTCTGATTTTTGACCGAATTGTTCAAATAAAAATTGCAAAATCCCTAATAATACTTCTATACGAGTCCTTCCCACTTCTGTCAAATTCTATTTTGTACTACTTTTGAGCACCCGTAGTAACATTGAGCTGTTTGAAAAACTAATTATTAAGACTAGTTTAAAACTGTTGAATAAACAGAAACCAAGTTTTACGTTATTGTATTCTATATATCTTAAATTTTGAATATCTGATCGTTTGAAAGTTGTAAAACGAAAAAAACAGATTTACTCATTAGTTCATGCAAAAGGTGCAATGTTGTATCAAATAATGTACTCATCTAATAAAACATGAAACAAATGACAACGTTTGGTTAAGATGAACTTTTTTGTTTGTCACATAAACGTTAAACACTATAATTATCGATGAGACAAATACAGTACTGAATATTCATTCTAAGAAATCTCTTTTTAAACATTTATTTATGGATTTCTCTAAAGTTGCTAGTGTTGACCTCAACTTAGTATACAGATTTATCAGTAGTAGCAAGAGATGTACACTTAGATGGCAAAAAGTACTTACAGCGGAATATTTTGAGTACTGAGTTAGTGACCCGGATAGTATGCAAGACTGAAAAGGTGTTTCAGACAATAGAAACATAAACAGACATTTGTCTTTACAGGTTTACCAGAAAGCTGATTTTATCTTATTGTAGTGAAAGTCGTGGTTAAATCTCATTAGAATAATATATGTTATTTATTTAACATCTTATATTCAGAAGAACATTGTAGTATACGACTAAAAGGATGTCCTACGTGTTAGTTTCTCAAAGTCGACAGAATCTCTTATTTATTTAGTAGACAACGTAAACAACGGCTTACAACGTTTTATCAAAATTTGTTGGTAGTTATGATCAAAGTATTGCTCATGTATAGTGGAACCACAAAGCAAGTAGTGTTGAGTTTAGACGTGAATTAATAATTGGGAATGACAAAGTGATCAATTAGAATATGTAGCTTAGCTGACTATGGAGATGGGTAGGAGATTGTTCATAGAGGATAAAAGGTGTTTATCGAAGTTGATATATGAAGTGCAGACCTCCTCATTGAGGTTTGCAAAGTTAGATATAGTAAGTGGCATAGTGTGAAATCTGGTTAACTACATAGACCTGTTTATTTGTTCTTTGTTTTATTTCTAAGTATAAGATTTGTGCCAATCTCTGAGTAAGCTATTTTGCCTGATTTCCTTGAGCTATGCTTACTACAACTGACTCAAATATCATGACTAGGAACGTTTCGGCAAGCATCGTTCCCCTTGTTCTTTTTATAAAGTATTTCAGTTTGGCCAGGTACACATGAGTTTCCTGTTTTACGTTATTTAAGACTGGTTATAATGTTCCAAACGTTCTTTCATATATTACATTTTTTTATAAACCATTTTTATCTATAAATCACCAAATAATACTTCAAAAGGGCTTGGAACAACTGATGTGCTTCTTGTTGTTTTAAAGCTTTATTATTATAAAAGAGAAACGATAGTTGCATGTATTATCCTCGGAAATCTAAATAAGTATTCGGAACAATTGAAAAGACATTCACTGGAGTGATCAATGATCACAAAGTATGCTCTGAATTTAGCTTAATACTAATTTTTTGTCTTGACTGTACGTTCATCATATAAACTGTAAGATATTTTCCAGTCTAACCGCCTAATATTAATAATAAAAGATATTATAAGTTTAACTTCAAATCACAAGAAAATTAGTATTTAAACGAGACTTCGTAATGTTTGCCTTTTAATGGATTTAATTTGTCATAAACTATGTAAAGAAGGTAAATGATACATTTTACCCCATTTTTTAATTATTTCTCGCGGTTTGCAGTAAGGAAAGCAGTAATAAACCGTATCCAGCTGTCTTGTGCATCTGAAATCCCATTTTGCTTAATTTTATTTAGTTATGTAGTAACTGAGTAAAGAAAACCACATTTACCTTTCCAGTTGCTGCAATACTAATGGATTTGCTGCACTACATCCAATCGGCGAACAATTTGTAGGGGATGTTATTAAGCCGGTAAATATTTAAGCACTAAACTTGGAAAATTCAGTTATTATTAAATGAGCAAAACGTAAATAAAATGGTGATGGATTACATGTCAGATGCTAATAATTTGTAGTGAAAAACTAGTTTGTTCACTCTATAGCTTAAATCACTTGCTTTTGTTAGTTTGTATTTCTTTATGAGCATTTATTATCAATACGTTTTTGTTCTGCACTGTGATTTTGTATTCAGAAAATATCAGTGAACTTTTCAATTGTACTCAAATTACATGGATTTATAGCCAAAAATAAAATTCAGCAAAATGATTTACTCTTGAGTCCAACAACTAAAATTTAATTTTCTGCAAAATTATTTACTTAAGCTGTACATTCATATTTATAAATTGTATGGTAAATACATGTCTATAGAAAGATAGAAACGATTGCGTTGATACGGTTGATAGGAATCAATAAAAAGTTTAAAACCGATGGAGATTCATGCTTCTTATCCAAAATCACCAGAAAAATATAAATTTAATTACTCCGGTATAACAGTATTAACTATCCAACTACAAGCATTATCACTTGGTCCTAAATTTTGTAGCACGTCAACTAACATTAAGATCAAGTTTGAAAGCTTCATTTGTCAAACAAATGGTCTTATCCCTGTATTTAATAAAGATTATGAGCATTTCAAACAACTTATTGACTGTTTTGATCAATATGTCAACGCAATATTCACAACTAGACGATAACTCATAAACGAACATAAATCTCAGTTATTTTATCTTCTAATAAATCAGAATTTAGTATTTTGTCACCCAGATAAGAGTGCAAGAACTGTCCTTGTGGATCGTCATAACGATATTGTCAAACTATCCTCGATATTATCTGATATTACATTCTTTAAAAAAGCCATTTAAAAAGATGCAACTAAGGAAATGGAACAGATGCTAACTAAAATCCTAAGGAAGATGAAAGATGAGTTTATTATCAGTTGTGACCTCTATGAACATCTAAGACTATCGAATTCCTCTTTATCAAGACCATATGGACTACCAAAAGTTCACTAGAAGAATGTCCCCCTACTTCCTATAATTGACATGAATAACTCTCCGTATCATTTGATTACTAAATGGTTAGCTAAGATTTTACAACCCGTCAGAAATCAAACCAACAGATACAACTCTCTTGATTCATTTGATTTTGTTGACTCAATTATGAATGTCTACGTAAGTTATAAAAAAAGTTTTATTAGATGTCACTTCCCTCTTTACAAATGTTCCATTCACAGAAGCTATGTTTTTTTATGTGACTACATTGAATATAACAGTCATGATATTTGTATCCCCAAACTTTATCTAAAAGAGCTACTTCTACGATGCACTCTCAATGTGCAATTCAGATTTAATAATGATTTTTGTAGAAAAACTGTTGAAGTTACAATGCGTTCACCACTAAGTCCCCTCTTGGCTGATTGTTTCATGGCCAATCTGGAAAATACAGCACTTCGACCAATACTTAGATTTCATTTATCTAAGAGATATATGGATGATACTTTCATTATTTGTGAAGTAGATATGAACCTCAATGAAATTTTGAATCGATTCAACAATTGTCATCATTTAATTTTATTCACATTGGAAGAGGCAAACGAGGAATTTCATTTTCTTGATGTCTTATTGAAATGATCAGACGGTTCTTTACAGATCTGTATATGAAAGACCGACATGGAATGATCAGTATACGAGTTTCTACAGCCGGTTCCCACCGAAAAGAAAAAATTAATCAATTCACTCTTTATCTTCGAGATTTGTCGATAGGAACTTAACGCCAAGTCAACATCCTGAAAAAGCACCAGCAGTTTAAAAGAAAACTATTTTTACGAATATCGAATTTAAAGGAGATACGGCTGCCGAACTCTTGAATAAATGGATTTTGAAATCCTTGAATAAAACATTCTATTCAACTGAGTTCCGTGTTGTCTTCTGAAGCTGGACTGACATTTCGCTTTGAGCCACATGGATATGCATCTTCGGTGGGACAGATTACATTGGCTGCACAAAGCAGTCACTTTCCAAACACATCTCAGAACATTTCTCGGCTTGGCGTTTGGAAGAAGAATGCAAAACAAACACCAGTTCAATACAGGAGCACCTAATCAACTCTGGAATAGTGTACACAATCAAAGGAACTAGGTTGAAGGGAGGTTGAAACACATACCTATGCAATGCTGAGGCATTAACAATCCACCAACTCAAGCCCAAATTCTGCGTGTACAAACCATACGTCCAACCTCTCATCTTTCTTTGGCCTTAATTCAGTTCTGCAGTATGTTTTGGCGTGTTTTTTAAATTAGTGTTTTGCAATTTTAAACGGTAATCAGTTATTATAATCCTTCAAAACGTTTATGATTATCATTCGGTTATTATTATGACCTTTATGTTTTTCGTTTCCCTTCATATCTGTCAAGTGGGCAATTATCTTTCATAATTCTGACCCATAAATTATTTCATCCTTATATTCTTCCTTGTTTAGCTCCTTGATTATTTCACAACCTCAGTTGACATTTATAGTCTCGAATCTCTTTGTGATGCAATCTGTTCTATGCTCCTATAGACATATATTTACTATACAACTATAAATACGAATGTACAGCTTAAATAAGTGATTTCATCGTGAAAAAAATTTTCTTCGTTGAATTTTATTTATTTTTCAATGACACAATGTGTTACTGTAATCATCTGAAGATTTATCTTTCTTGTTTCTATTCTGGAAGCTGCTAAGTTGCTACTCTACTGTCTTAATGATAATATGGAATTTATTATTATTAATATTATCATTATTATTGTTATTATTATTATTATTATTATTATTATTATTATTTTATGATATATAGTAACCAATAAAAAAAGGACGAGAACACAGTTCATGTTGTTTGATGAAGAAAACCGAAAGTCCTGGGTTCGAAACCCGCAAGCGGGATCGTGGATGCGCACCTGTGCTTCTAGGTTTTCAATGGTGGTCTGTCATCGATCGATTCATGGTCTCAATCAAAAACATAAATAATAGCTATCAATCTTGAAACATTATCCAGGCACTTAATAAAAACTGGATAATACCTAATGATTATGGAAATAAGTTACTTAACAGAATATAACGAACAAAAAAGAAATTCAATCGGTATGAGTGTGGAAAAATAGCTATCCACCTTAAAGAAAAAGCCTAGTAAAGTGAAGGAAGGATAAATTGTAAGGCTGAGAATTAAGACGAGGAAAAATGTTTAGTAGGCCTATTTTGAGAGGAAAAGGTTTGGATAATAAAAAAAGCCAGAGAGACACTATACTTTACAATTATTCATCTACCTTATGGGTTACTTGGAATGCTAATTGAGTTGCCATAGAATAACCAATATTGATCAGATATTCCTTTAGCAGACGTCTGGTTCACTCACCATAACCTTTTTGAAAGCATAAAGGATATTTTTCTTCAACACGCTTGGATAGATACATTCCTTATTATAACATGAAACATTTTATTTGTTGAACTACATGAGTTTGCGCGAACCGATTTTCGTTACACTTATTAGTGCACCAATACCTCTTCATGGTCAGGGTGATTGGAGCAGTTGAAATTTACAGTAAAAAATATAAATATGACATTAATATCCAAAAATTGACTAACCACGACTCTAGACCCATAATCAGGAACAGTTTTCAATACCTTTTATGTATTTGCCTTTTGTTTCCAATGGTTTGAGTTCATACTAATATATCAAATCCTATTTATACAACTTGGTAGCATATTTTGTAATGTATACATAGTCATATGAATGTATTGAACTTCCATTCTAGCATTCAGTTGAACAACTCTCAAATATTTGTTTAACCGTTTGTGCCATTATTATTCAATGAATAGAAATATTTGGATTGTATTACCTTAAATACATCATCCATGAGAGGGAAAACATGGGAGTGAACTAGAGAAATCTAAGTATTTAATTGGTTTTAATTCTTAACTAAATTATAAAGCCAGAAGTAGATAAAATTTTCATGGCACTTGCATTCTAAAAAGTACAAACTGTTGTCCCATATACTCTATATATTTGGGTGATGTTAAAAATTAGTTTAGCTGAGGATTGTTCATTTAAAGGCTGCTTCATACTAGTCATGAAGTGCAACAAGCTTTAATGAAAGAAGAATTTTTACTGAATAATCCTGGTGATTCCTTTTTTATATTGCTCTAAAGAGGATTTAGTTTCATTAGTGTTTTTATCTTTCACATGAACACAAGAATTTAATTTATTTTGATTAGGTTGGTATTCTATTTATTTGCTCGTTGCTATGGATGGAGCGACATTGATTTAAATGATGTGCGATCCCAGATGCTGGCACCATCAACGGGACATAGGTATAGAAACGTATCAAAGGATGAAGAGCTGAGAATGAAAGATAAAGTCATCCAAATCACCACAGAGCTAATTTATTTGTAAGTTGTATTTTGAAGATGGATTTTAAATCTCATTAAAACAACACGAACATATTGCTTTTGAGACGACAGGTAGAGTCAAAATTGGATGTTTTACATATTACTTCCTGAACGCGGTTTACTCAGTGTATTTACCATGTTGCACTAATTATGATTAGCATGGTTGCACAAATAACTACGTATCTAAGTAAACTAAAGTTGTAAATTTTATTTAGTTTAGGCATAAACCACTGGAGTTACATCTTAGTAAACAGTATCATAATGACACACTTTGGACTCCCTACATATTTTAGTGACAACTCATAAATACAGTTAGATGATATCGGAAATTTCATAAGAGTGTTATGTCTGCTATTAACTCGGGATTTTTAATGCTAGTCTTGGGACAAAACCCTTGGTAGCAAATGAATTGAAAGAGTAACATAAATCACGTCTAAATAGTTCTCATTGATAGTTTGCTCTCATAAGTGCTTGTTTGGTTTATACAACATACACTTAAGTGTTGTTTAAAGCGTTAAAAATATTTTGGAAAATTCTATATTATAGAACACCATCTTATCAATTTTTGATTCATTATGTGGTTGGCTTGTTGTTTTGTCGAATGTTGTCATAGTCATTTTGCCACAGTGTAATGTTGTAACAGTGTCACTCAATCCCGAGATAAAGTTAATGAGATTAGCATTTGATGTTATGATATTTGAAATTCACAAAAGGAAACAACCAACTGCTTGTTCTGAAGTTTACAATGAGACATTAACATCCAATAATAAGTAGTTGTTTTTGCTGCCATTAATTTGATAAATTGTGCCACAGACGTCCAAATTTAGTAAGGATTATACAATACAGACTACACGAATAGTAAACAAGATGTGACATGTTCTCAACGTATAGCATAAATTCAATCAGTAAAGTATTCCATATACACTATTGATGATTTAGACGTGAGGCGCAATGTTTTAACCACTCCAACCAATACAGTATACAAATATTTAGACTGTACAGTATTTACCGAGTCTTACAGAAGCTTCGATTACATTGCTGCATGAAGTTTATTACATGGCTTATCGACTGACTTCATCATCTATATTCTTGAAATTGTTTCGTGAAAAAAAGAAAACTAGTCTGATCTCATAACTTTATACAACCAGCTCCCTTTGTAAAATTAAACGGAGCAACAGCAACATGGTTTGCAAAATAAAACGAATTCATTTCACTTCATGGTTTCTCATCAGCTGCTTACAGACTAAAATTACAGTTAGTAATATATTTATTTAAAAAATGCTTCACATACTTTACTTTGTAAAGTCTAGATAAATGTTCGAAACGTAACCGAAATCATAATAGTAAGAGGAGGAATAAGATACAAAATATATGAATAAGCATAGTTAAAATCAATGTGTATTTATATTTTGGAATGGGTGTTATATTTACTAGTAATCAAAACCATGACAAAAGAGATTATGTTAAGGTAATTAAATTAATAATTGATCGCATAACCCCTAAAATGATGAGGAATAAGATCAAGTATATGTGAAGAATAAGATTATTTAAGAGATAAGTGTTAGAAAACAAAATAAGAGGGGATTGGAAAAAGTTAATAAAGGTTATTTGTTCAACACTTAGCCACCACAGGAAGGATAATCACATTTTCCTTCAGTATACATAGGTCAGATCAAAAAAGGTAGTTAGCAACGGCTTCTGCAAAACGAAGTAAAACCAGTACTGATTGTCTACTAATTATTTTTAGTTCAATACTTATATTCATTCTAGGTTTACTGTCCAAAAAATGCCTGGGAATTGCGCCTGTGAGGACTATACTCCCTTCCAGACATATATCTTTAGAAACGTGTTCAGAATATTTAGTAGAAACCCTTCTATTTGTCCTCCCTATATACACGCTACCGTATGTGTATGTAAATTTCTAAATGCAATTGGAGGTGACGTTCAAAGAGTATTGATTTATATTTCGATTGTTTAACGAACACTTGGAGTCATATAGGGAAATCATTTAAACATTAGGAAAGCTTCTTTTCGGTGTCACCTTGATCCTCCTATCGATTTCACCTGAAATCTAATCCCTCTCGAACGGAAGACCAATGAGGATATCTTTATGAAAACAGCTATTTGTCTATCATCTTTAATCTATTTTTTTCATATTTAGCAAGTGTTTTTCCATTATTCACTTTTTGAGGTTCTGTTCTAGAATGACTAATTTCTCATTTATTTTATCGTCTGAGCACATCATTCTTATTGTACTAGAGATTGTTTTTACTAGACATCTTTTGTAACTAGCAGAAAAAGATGCTGTTATAAATTAAATACTGTCCGTTCTACGTTTTTTCCTATATATTCTATATAGGGATCATGTATTCACTCGAATCTTGTAAACGCTTTGAAATATCTGTTGATTTCAGCCTTAATATGAGTAGAGTGAAGGAAAGTTTGTAATTCTACCAAAAGCAGTGAAAGTTAACATTTTTTAAGTATCTCTAATTAACCTTCATTGATTAATAGACATCACTACGAAGATTTGACTTGATAATTTCTAATAAACTGATCACTGGATATATTTTTAATAGTAAAAATAAGGATATGTTTACAATTTCTGAATGAGTAAAAAATAAGATCTCCGACGTTCCGTGAGTTAGTGTAAGGCACTTCTCTGCAGAATATAGGAAACTAATTTATTTATTTTCTGACGTATGTTCTAATAATGTCTAGGAAGACAATGAAAGCCTCAGCCTAGAGGACATAACATTTTCAATCGATAAGAAACCGCTAACTATGGTAAAGAAAAATCTAAAGGATTTAACTGAAAGCATGCAAACTTCAAATGATAGTTTTTCGGACATTGAAATTCGTTTCAACACAATAATTAGAGACAGGTTGCAATTTTGTTTGTTATAACATTAATTTCATTAAATTGTATACTTGAATTAGTTTTATGTGTTTTCATCAAGTTTCAAAATTACGGGAATATTCACAAACAACAATAAATATATCTTTTAGGATAAGAAGTCTTCCACTTTCTCTGGCTGGCCTAAAAATGCTCATCAGTTCTATGAATTTAGGTAAGTTTTCGTAGATCAATTTTTGGTTTTTGCCGTACAACTTTTCAAACATCTTCCTCCCGACTATAAAGCAGCCTGTAAGTAGATTGGTTATTTTGTGGCTACTAAAGCGACTTTATTTTATCAAAAAGGTAGTGCTTCATGCTGATGACTAGCTAATGATCAGAATCTTATTTTATTTCGTAGTAAGATATACATAACAGGACACTTTTAGCTGAAAAGCTTTCAAAAGTTTAGTCCGTTTTTGAAGAAAAATCAAAAGTTTCGAACTGAACTTGTGTTATTTTTTATTTGGTACTTACTTTCATAAATGCAAGTATAATATCGACATGAAACTTTACCATCTGATGGGATGTAACAGAAAATGATATGTGACGTCAAATTTAGTCTTTCAAGTTACTATCATCAGAAGCATATCAACCACGATGTAAAACTACCTTCTTAACAAACTTGAAAAAATTTATCGATTGTTTAATAACCGATCAAAGCAGCTTCGATACTTTTCATAGTTCCTTACTGTAACTGTAAAACAGATATAAAGCATCTAGATGTTTATTATGTCATTTTGATACTATACGTCGCTGTGATTTCAAATGAATAAGCTCTAAGGTATAAAAAATATCGACAAACAATATCTTAATTTACATTTTTGTTAAAAATTTTAACTCCATTAAATAATGTGTAATGTATTGTGACTGTCTTGAGTCTCGCGTGCGAGATCGGTAGGTCCTGGGTTCGAATCCCGCGAGCGAGATCGTGGATGCGCAGTACTGAGAAGTCTCGTACTAGGGTGAAACAGTCGTTTAGTTCTTCCAGATTTTCCATGGTGTTTTAGCTTTAACTGACACATGAATTCAATTATTAAATTAAAAATCTGTTTGGTATCATAAAGGAAAATAATTACTTAATCTGATTAGTTGAGTTACACTTTGCGAACAAGTGACCAACTCAAGCTGATTATGAATACAAGGAATAATGCTGGAGAGAAAAATTGTTGGTCATCGATGAGGGAAACTTCTATACAGATATCCCGTTTCTAATTTTTTAAAGTCACGCGTAAGTTCAAAGAAGAGGATATGTGAATGTTGTGTTTACCTAGTCAGTATTTTGAGTGAACCTCTGAATATGAAGATGTATGGTCCAGTTATATCATATACATTACTGAAATAGGGAATACGATTTTAAGTCACAATGAAATTATTCAACGCGTTTGTGAGTTATCAACAACTTGTGCGACATCGGTATGTGACACACATGTCAAGGTTCTACTAGAGTCAGTGAATATTTCATACTTGGAATAAATTCCCTGTGAGAAGAATTTTAGAGTTACTAAAACACGTATGCAGTCGGTTTACTAACAATTTACTCCTATGTTTCCTTAAGAAAATGTGAGTTATTTCATGTAATAATAACGACAGCAGAAACTACATTTTTTGGGAGCATTAGGTCAGCTGAAGATCACTAACGGCAGAAGAAATTATCTCACGTTTCATCCCAATAAAAGTGCTAAGATAAGCACAAGATTTTTGGAAATGCAACCATATCATATTTACTTGCTTTTAACTTAATGTTTTGGTATTGATTGATTTTTTTATAACTGTTATTTCTCTTGACACTCAAATCAGCAGAAGCGAAACAATTTTTTTTTAAATGACTTTCAATACTAGAATTATCATTATCCCTAATCATTATTATTAATTTAATACCCATTGTATAACAGCTCGTGGAATGCACCACACTCGAAAGCAAATAGCGTTGCATGCTGTCGATTGGCTGACGTTTGGATTACAAACGGATGGTGGAGGTGTGAAGGCAACTGCAAGTCCTAGATTCACTCAGAAAAGTTCTACAACACAGCCATTTTTGCCAGAAGATTCAACTCCAGAAAGCATGTTTATGACGGTAAAAGTAGGTACTAAATGATAAACTGAATAAAAAAGTAGGACAATATATATGTATTGATTGAAAATAAATTCATGTGGTCATTGTATTTTTTGAACATTTTCAGAGTTGTTCTCCACAAAATTCCTTGACTTCTGATTCGTTTTTCATCCTAATTATTCTTTATAACACTAACTAACCTTAGATGTATTTGCTTTATTTGGTAAAACTAATGACCAATTTTTATCTATCTGCAATGTTTAGCGGATGATGGATAGTCAAGATTATTTGTCATTAATAAAATTAACAGTCCTTTGTCTAGTTTAAGTTATTATTCAGAACAATGTACAATTCAGTTAATTTTAAAATATGGTGAACCACAGCCTTGACATCTGCTAAAAGAATAAGAAATCAGTGAACTGAGTATTTCATTTAGTTCGGTTAACTATTAAAAATCAGTAGCTGTAATCTACTCATGATCATCATAATGTCAACTGACAGGTAAGAAATTTGTGTGAATTTGCCCATTAATACTATTTTTGAAATAACAGGATGTCTGAAGGGAATAGGAAAGGGATATCAATCTACTCTAAGACCAATCATGTGTAGAAATGATTTTGCTGTGCACATTAAGATGTTATTCTTGTTATTTTGTTAAGGCTTAAACTATGAATCTATCACACATTCCAGATGTCAATGTGTTGTATTACACGTGGTTAAATGGCATAGTAGATATTCTTACGTTGCTGCACTAGTACTCTGGTATTTTTATATTTAATAGTTTCAAATACTAAACAATCTCTATCAACAACATATTTAAATGTTCCCAAAAATTGCTATTTTCAAGCACATATTTTCTATTACGCGATTCCAAGATAATATTCGTTCACACGAAATCCTCATTTGTGATTTGTAATCATAGACATCAGTTAGGCCGAAAAGTTTAGTGGTAATAAAGAAATATTTGTTATCATGACTTTAATCACTAATAATGTTGACATTTACCTATAAAACACTGTTCAGTAATTACAAAGTTATGAGTGGCATACAGTCAGGTTACATGAACCAACTATAATATATCAACTTATTCACATAGTAAGTGTTATAAGGCTATAACTATAACGTTTGTATTCAATTAATTAATTTATTTTGTGTATTACAGCGTAGTCCGTCTACTAGTTTACAGCGTTAATTCCGAGGAGTTTTACAATTTCGCTGCTACTATGAGCTACGAAACCGTTTCAGCACAGATGATAATTCAGTTCTACTTACATTACTATGTGAACTCAATTAAGTTTCTGACTCCCAGTACCTGAAACAGATTTTGAAAGAAATCTAAAAACTACCAGAATTTTCTTTTGAAACGAGATTTGTTTGTATAAAATTTAATGCTATAAAGTAAAATGAAAATCTTCAGATTTAAAGCAAGTTAATAATGTTACACCTGAACAGTGGTAGCTATTACTTAATATAACAAAAACTACCAATTGTTAAATGTGTAATTGGAAAAAGGAATATTTGACTAGATCATTTGTTTTACACAGCTTTTGCATATTTTGTGAATGTCTAACCGCACAAATTGTTATGTATTTCAGCTTGATTACTTAACTCTGTTTAGGCTTCTGTAACTATAAGATAACTTGAGTTCGTGTAAAGTAATTACTACTGTTTATATATCCTATTTAATAAATGCTATACAGAATGTGAAAAGACAAGAAAACATTTGGAAAAGACGCTCATAGATAAATATGATTTAATCCTAGTGCGCATATAATAGTTTGACGTGAGGATGGTGTTCAGACAAAAACGAAATGTATGACTGCTTCTGTACTAACTAGAAATATTCGACTTTTCATTAACTTTGTTTCTATTGACTACTCTAATGGAATCCAGGATCTTATTTGGAATTGTTGTACCGATAATAATCGTAGTATCCGAATGGGGACTTTGGGACCATTATATATCCTGTTTGGACAACTTTCGACAAATACTATTATACGATTGATCAAGCTATCAGTTGAGGTAAATTTACGTATAACGAAAACATTTTCACTGTTTTAAATTTTACAATATAACCATTTATGTCATACATAAATAGAACAATATCTTGAATTCTATGTAACTGACAGTATATCAGGGGACATAAAGGGATACTCACTGACAAAGATGCTTTCTGTTATTAGGAGGCTTCATGACTCGCAAGGTATATCTGATATAATATTGTTTTGTATTGTCACAAAGAATGTGCTATTCTATAATACGTTCCAACAAATTATTTCCAGAATAAAATTTACACCTTTTAATAAGTTTAATTCATCCATTAAATCATTTCTTTAAATTTGGAGCTCTAGCGAAATGTCATAATCACCAGGGTTCAACCATGTTGGGGAACTAGACACGTATCGCTAATTCCAATGGATAACGGTTGCGTAATATAACGAACGAACTAAAGCTAGAAATGTTAAGCAAAACTACATGGCGTCCCTACGATCCGCGAGGCCTGAAGGTCCTGAGTTCCATCCTTGTAGTTGTGTAACAAAAGTTGACCACTGACGTATAATACGAATCGAACAATCTCGAAAAATCTCCTTTACTCATTTCAATGGGATATTACTATCCAGATAGTGATGAAAAGTTTCTATTGTCCGAAATGAAAACCTTGTGGGTTTTTTAGATATTCTTACCACTAGTTTGAAACTAAGTATTTTCACCAGTTTAAGGAAAACATTCATACAATGTAAATAAGATTGTTTTGTCAACATTAAACAATATCATGTCTTCAGCTTTCGTGTGGTCGATTATATCCATTTTAATGATATCAATATAATATTGTAAGCATAAACGGAAAAGTTTAATACAGCATATAAGAAAGTTCTCTTACTTCGTTTGCCATCAAATATGATTGTTAACTTTTCTGTAAATTGTACAAATAGGATGATCAGCCTAAGTTTCTGTCAAAGTTTATAAGAATCTAAGACGATAATTTTATTTTTCTTATGGATTAATGCCTATTTTGAGAAAATAATGTATGTGCTAGTCTATCTAGCTCTATTATTATTGCTACCATCATCGTGATTACTAGTTCATGTTACTATGGTGAAATGTTATGTATTGTGTTGGCAGGGTACATGTTTACATTTTAGCTTAAAATGAATAACAATAGATTTTCTGAAGCCTTTCAATGTATACCACGTAAAGATATAAAATTAAAGTAATTTTAATGGAATTCATTTTGATAATGTTTAATACAATCATTCTAGTAAACCGGGACTATTATTTAATAACCTGTCCTACTTTAATGACCATTACGAAATATACCGGATTTTATTATAACCAAATGTGATATTAGATTTCTGGGCTTTAAGTTATTCCGTACATTTGTAGCAACAGTAGTATGGTGTTATCCAGTTCACTTGATAAAAAAGTTCTGTAAATCTTAATTTTAAACAGTTGTACAGTGATTGATCGATTCAATATTCGTATTGAAGCAACTTAGAAATACATTAAAGTAAATATCTCGACTCTTAATTGTTATGTATTGTACGGTGTTGAAATTCGAATGGAAAGACAGTTACAGTAATCATGTTAACCTTCCGAATTCTTTAGTACACTGCAGTCTATATTAAAAATCGATAAATTGGGTACCTTTTGAGTGTCATTTAGAACACTTTTCTGTGACGAATAATGTTCATTATATCAGTATATTGGCAAATATAGAGATTACAATACATTCGGATGTGTTGAATAAGATTTTTATCAAGATATAAACATTATAACTGCTGAATATAACGAAATTTTCGAGATGTAAATTGTTTGCTGCTTATCCAGTTTTGATAGTAATTACTCATCATTCTTTGTGAAAAGTGTAAGTATAATCGGTAAAGCAAGACTTATTTATCTGTGATTAATGTTTTAAGTAAGCAACTGTACATAATATAGGCAGAAATAAATTGTTATTCTTATCACTTTATCAAATCATGTTACTTTTCTTATGTCTAAACGCAAATGAATATCCATTTCATTTATATTATTCACAAACAAATTAACTTACTTACTTTCTTGTTTTCATGCTACGTTGATTAGATTATCTGGTTTTGATAATCTGTAAACTGATTTTGACAGTGCTTTAGTAGATTACTTAGTATATACGTATATAGATAGATAAATAAAGATTTATTACTATAACATGTGTAACGCTTATCATACTATCAGTACTCGTTGGTTAGTGAGTTTAGCCTTGAAATGGTTACAATATACATTCTGTTTTGTTATAGGTCAGTACTTTTGGCTGACGCTTATATATGTTCTAATGGTTTCTTTAAAAATCAATCTCTTCTATCTGTCTCATTTCTTCTGTTTCTGAAATGCGTGAAAATCAAGCTGCATGAAAAATAATAAAAATTGAAATAACCCAGATTATTCTAAACATGAGAATACCTCAAATAGGTCTTATTCAATTTAAGTAGTGATAATACTATTTGTATGTGTAAATACAATACCAATATTAATTCAATAAACTAAGGCCTGCCATTTTCTTTTTTCTTCAACTAGCATCGCTTTATTTTTAACCAATATAAATAATCTGCGTGAATTAGGGTCATTCAAATGACAATCACTGTAATTGCAGTTACGATTATAATATTTAATAGTGTTTATGATGATTAAATTTCAGTAAATCCAAAGGAATGTAGTTTATATATATATATATATATATATATATATATATATATATATATATATATAGCAATAAACGCACGTTAACAGTAAGCAATTACTTAGATATATATGTAAGTGATGCATTGTATTCAAATACTTAGGAACAATTGATGAAAAGAATGTTCTTCAATTATGATTAGGCAGCGTTGCATAACATCAGTCATGGTGAGATTTATTCCATTTGTAAGTTAAATTTGACCAACGCTCATATTAACAACATCAATACTCTAAATTATTTTTAGTGTAGTAACGACTACATTTGTATAATTAATTCAAACTTTGTTGATGAAATCCTCGTAAACTACCAATAAATTTCTGAGGGTGAAATTTCACACATGAACACACTATAATGCGATGAGCCCTCTTTGTCTAAACGTGTGATCGCATAAATGTTTCACATTGTTTACTACACTGACCATTTGTAAACTATATCTTATAGATTTCAGTTGAGAAAGAAGAGAAAAAGCCTTACGTTTTTAGCCTGCAATCAGTCTGTTTTGACCACATATTTAAAATACAAAGCTAATTGAATTATTTTCAGTAACGTATTTTCAATTTTACAGTTAGCTTTATCTGGTGTCAACTGTTCGGGCGTTCACTCTTAATAGTAAACTGACTAAAATTAATCTGTTTACAGCTTATATATATATATCGTTTATTCAAACAGTAAAACTATTGCGGTTAAAAACAAAGTAGCTCAAGATCATAAAAAAATTTGAAGTGAAACATTTTAATTGTTTCCATAATTTCATTAAAATTTATTGATTAATCCATAATTTTATTCGTTCACAATTTCAGATATTGGAGAAACCAGAAGTCTGTACTAGTGAAGTAACTGAAGGTGTCATAGATAGTAAGAAAGGTTTCTCTATATAGTGATACTAATGAAAGCTACAATAACATTTCATCGTTCATTTATTGTTAACGCAATATGACAGCCAGTTTCTAGTGAAGACGTCTGTATTGTAACCCAATAATTGAAAATAAATATTTGATTTAAATAATTAACTTACGGTGTATTATATTATTTTACCTGAAGTACTATTGGTAGGAATACAAATACGTTTCCTGAGCGATGTTCTGAATTCAGTTTTATTGTTATTACTGCTTCAAGTTAAAAGTTTTAAAATATTCACAGTAAACCTGTCACAAAAGTAATATTTGAATACGTGACATGAAGTAAACATGTTATCGCAGTGAGTCATAATCCGTGAAAAAACAATTCAAGCCCATTGGACTTGATGTATGATTTCCATCCCAAAATGCTTTTAAAGATAAATTAATATAGATTTTGTTGAGATTCCATAAAAGCCATTAGATCGACGGCATATTTTGGAACTACGTATCATAAACAAAAATATCGTTAATTGAGGTAATACTTATGATTTTTCATCATGCTGTCCTAAAGCCTTCTTCGGATCCACCATTTAGTAGGTAGTTTGATTGTACTTTTAATATTTATTCCAACGTTGTATTTAGACCATGCATTAACACTTAACTACATTTATTTATTCCATTTTAGTTACTAACATTTGTTTCTGCTCAGACATATTTTTTTCCTTGAGGTTTATTTTCCTTTATGTGGTACATGGGAAGTCATACAGAACTAATAGGTTTTTATAAAGATATTTCATTACTGTTTTCAGTACTTAATATTTTGCTGAGAAGGTTGGTACCCAGTGAGCAACTATGTGATTCAAAAACATCGTTATCTGGAAACGTACTAATGTTAAAAACGAATCTTTCTGCCTGTAAATTTTCAGCGGTAAGCAAACAAGTTATAAACCATTTTGCTACCAAGCTTATAAGCCCTTTATAAATTCTATTAATGTAATATTCTTTAAGTGAATAAACTTTTGAGACAATTAATCCTTTTGATAAATTTCGATAACGTCAGAAGAAGACGAAGATTATCGGAACTATATGATATATTAGCGCATTACATTTCGGACAATCTGATTACACATCAACTAGTTAAGAACACTTATATATCAAAATAAAACGTCAAGGAGACAAATGGAGGGTAAGAGGAGACGAGGATAACAAAGAAAACAGTGTGAAAACAATTTAAAACCTCATCACTCTGGATAATAAGCTAATATTACCAGGCAACGTTTAAGGTGAAAACAATCTGTTTTTGAATATGCAAAGGGGATCTTAATTCTCGTATGGTTATGGCTTCAATAAACCTTAGTACATGCCCTTCTACACTTTTGTATAACACCATAAAAACTGTGTTAACATCAATCCTATGACCTGTTTCAACCATGTGTTTGGCAATAGAGGATGATGGATGTTTATTCTCTATTCTTATTGGGTCATTTGATTTTATTTGTTTCTGCAACCATTTAGGTACATGTTCACGCACCCTAAATAATAAACTTTTACTTTCACTTGTTACATATATAGGAGTACGTTCAGAATCAATTGTTTCCAAGACTGAGTAAAATGATTATCAACTTGTTTCAGAGTAATCACTTCAATGTACGCAAAGCTGCAGTCAGAGTTTATCTAACCTGCCTCAGTCGATGTCCGAATAATGTAGGTTTCAATCGTAATTTTTCTGAAAACTTTGCTTAATTTACACTTTATTAAATTGGTGAACAGAATCAATTGAATTGGTCTGATAAATCTATCAAATTCCAGCTAATCAAAGTTCACATCAGTCAAAGCTTTGAATCATAATACATTTTAATCATTAAAAACTAAATAATTAATATATTTGTAATATCCGAAATTGGTTATTTATTCTCTGAAGAAGTGACTTACACTAAATCACGAAACGTCAGAAAATCTAATTTTCCACTCATTGCGATATTACAAATATATTATTTATTTATAACAATCAACCCAATGCTCAATTTATTCGAAATTATCAAACCAAACCTTGGTAATGATACCTATTAAAAACTAATACTGAATATCTGAGCTCTATCAGAAGCATATGTATAGTTGGAGCTGTCTTATGCTACTCACCAAGAAAGAAATTTCTTCCTGAAATACCTGAAAAACTTGTTCTTGCTATGTTTGAGACTAGATTAGTAGTGATAGTTTTTTGTACCCAAGACTGTGATTCCTGAGTTCAATTGAGAACTGTTTACAGCCGGTTACTCTTAGCCTTTCTGTTAGCACTTTTTTGCTAACTTTTTATCTATCACCGGCAACACAAATCTTTGAACCAAGGTTCGGTGTGCTATTTTCAGTGCCCAACTTGTTTCATTCTGAAGTGCATTAATAAATAGAGTTATTACAGAAATTTGTTTCACTACAAGATTATTTTCTGTTTTATTGAATGTTACGGTGATTTAAAATGAATTAATCAACGACTTCACTGTAAACTTTAAGAACAAGCCTAAAGAATCAGTTTATAAGGAAAAATAATCCAGCAGTTGCTTATTCTGAATGACTAGCAAGTGGCACCACCACGTCAAATATATCCATATTGAAACATTTGAAATGACTTCAGTCTTGGAATCAACAGTAGAAGTTGCATACCAGCTACATCAAACGCCACTCGAAACGATAAGATTTAATGCAGTTAATAAATACCTAATCATATAATTGTTGATAATAATAATTATAATAATTTTAGTAACATCAATATTATTATTATCAGTGTTTGTTTTTGTATACGCCACTAGACATTTAAAGAAGTTCTTCTTCAAACTGTAAATGATTTATGCATGAACGCGGATAAGCAATCTGAAACCTACCAAGATAACTCAGTAAGCTTTTATTTTCACTTTCTTTTAATGTACTATTCTTAAAGTTAGTAAAAAGATTTTACATTAATTGACTTACATAAAAAAGGTCTTAATATTTTGTTAAATATTTCATAAATCAACCAATGTCTAAGTTTTGATATAACTGACATGACCATTTGCTTGATATAGTAACATTTCATTTATGAGTGTCTGTAATTAAGTGACACACAGACCAAATAACAAAACGAATGAAATACAATTTTAGGCTTTATTTTTACATTCTATATTTTACATTTTACCAGACTCAATATGTCACCATACATTCTTTATTTAAAGCCTTTAATAACTCAAAAATTTAGTTATCAAACAATTGTATTGATTGCTTGCAGCCCTCGAATTTCGAAAGCTGGAAAAGTAACCCATATTTTAATGAAAGTCTCCTAACTCTTTGTCGATTTCTAATTAAGGTAAGTTTTCCCATGTTATCAAAATTACCAATGTGGTTGAAAATTCTTTTCTTCATCATTATTTATAATAATTTGTTCTTTTTCATATTAATTGTGTTTATTCTTACCCTGTAAGAGTGTAAAATAAAACAAAAGTTTCCAAGCACTTACTAAACAATATAATCATAATAGCTAATATTTTAAAGGTTTCATCCATATTTTTTAGTCATTTATGAATTACTCCTAAACGTTACAAAACATTGAATTATCCTTCATAAAAATACGTTTAATTACTTCCATGAGTTTTATTTATATAATGAGAAACTAGGTTATAAAAAGCAATTTAAATTATTCAATTTAACGTTTATAAAATATGAATGAATAGCGAATCAAAATAATACTTACTCTACACTTGAAATTGGAAGTTACTCTTATGATATCTTGTAAACAGTAAAAGAACTATATATTCACTAATCGAATTTAACCCCAACCAAAATATTTTTATACAGTGAATGTAAATAGAAAGAAATTATGCTCAGCTTTCATGTTATCTTACCACTTGACAAAATCTGTTTCACAATGTTTCTTATATCTTCGAAATTTAACAAACAAGTAAGCAAAAATGAATACATGTATTCGCCAACTAGGACACACGTAGCAACATAGTAATTTTAGGAAAACACAAACTTTCCGTTGTGATTTAATTTTGATTAAAAATAATTTATTGGTAACCAGTGAGAGCGTAAAATGTGTTCTGTATTTCTTATTTCTAAATCCAACTCTGAATCATAGACTAGAAATCAATCATTCTAATAGATATTCTTTCAAAAACGTCCAAGTGTATACAGCTACGCAAATAGTAGACAATTTATAGAGCCAAAATTAAGTAACGTTACACAGAAATATTTTAAAGTTAGATGTGTTTACGTAAAGTCCCTTATTCAGCAACCATTCTTTTAAATGAAATATCAATTTAATTATAAAATTTTCATATGTCAATTTTAGAAAGTTGGTGAAACCAATCTGCCTTCGAATACTGGGGACTTACAGAATTGTTTAGTTAATTTTTATTTGGGTCATTCATCTCAATATGTCCGCGATAGTGCATGCAGTCTGTACCTAACATTGTGTAAGACATTTTAAAGGAGTCTATCAGATGGTTCTTACAATATATCATTTTAGAGACTTGTTGTATACCATATAAAATCTAAATTTTTGTCTTTTCAAATACTCGTATCACAATCCGCACCAGGAAATTTCATTATAAGACTTCTATTGATACATTTTAACAATAAATACTTAATCCAGTGTGATGCCATTAAATGCCAGTAATAGTGACTCACATATAATGCATAGGTAATAGCAAATTTCTTCACGAACTGTTGGAAATCGAAATCTTCAACATATATTTCGGTTATTACAAACTTTACGCAATATCGTCGAAGTTTTTACAAGTATGTTTTATTCAAAAAGACACGAGATCGTTACTTTCAAAAAAATATTACGTTAATTTCTAAAATTACTTAAAGATGTTTCAGAAGCTCTGATAGCATGCAAATGTTGAAGTATGTTGCTAACTGTAAGTGTTTTATCGCCATTAGGCGGCATCGGCTAAAGAACCACTGGAAACTAATTAGCAATAAACTGTTACTATTTGCTTTTAATCATATTGAGTTTTACGGTCATAACCGACGACAGTAAGTGATGGCTGAGATATATCACAAATTGATTGAGGCTAGAAATTCGACTCTTGTTTAATAGAATCAAGGTAACCTAAAGGTCCTGAGTTCAATCCTTGGGGGGGGGGGTCGCGCACTGTTAAGAGTTCCCAAACTTGTAGAAATTAGTTGGATCTGTCATATCCTTTTCTCAGTCATTCAATTGCTAATCTTCATTTCATATATTTGATGATGACTGATACATGATTTGACAGTCTCGTCACATTACTTAAGATTCGATGTAACCACAAGTAATTATGCTAATAATTATGTCAAAATGTTAATTTTTTCCACTTTACAAGTCATCAGTGCCTCAAAAAATCCCAATCGTATTCGTTACCTATTGAATAAAATATTGGAAAATTGGCAAGTTAAGCAAGATGTTGTGTTATCACCTCTTTCAAAACTACTAATTCAAATAAACGAAACGGAAACTACCAAACCGCGTGGTAAGTAGCATGAAAAGCAAGTTTATTTCGTAATTATTATTCATAGATTCTTACGTTAATCAAAATAATATCACCAACCAAAATAAACATCATTAAATATTTCCCCATCCGAAATTTATTTTATACATACGTTTATGCCATCATTAGAAGCAAATAAAATATCTAATTATTCACTTAATAATTGTCGATAATTCGACCTATCTGAAAATTTTCCAAGTATTTTAAACCTTTTCGTCACGAAGCAGTCAAATAGCTGATATTATGTAGGCATTTTCTTTGTTCTATATGTTTGCTATTATAGTGACTATAGAACATGGATAAAATCACCAAGTTGAGTCCTTATGTCTAAATGCAAGTTAATGTATGGTTGTAATTTTTTTACTTGTATCTAATAACCTTTCATATATCATGTTCGAGGTTCATCATAAATTAGTTGTTCACATCGTATTTTTTCAAAGTGAATCAAAGAATCACATAAAATAGTCATCTTTGTTGTGCTAACAACGCGTAAATGTTATAATTATGTTAGAATATGTTGAACTATTTTCATTTTATGTATTTTTTCTTTTACAGAAATGCCTTTGACTGTGCGCTCCAAATTAAGTTGGACATGGCGTGAGGGGCGCATGCACATGTACTATTTAGTCGCACGCTCATTAGTTGGGCTTCATCTTAAAGTTCTTCACGAATTAGATGCTGATGGTTATAGCCCAATGAATTCTGAAGACTTTTGTATCAGCCCGACCTTTACAGGTAAAATCCCTTTGAACTGGATAGATAAACAATTCCAAATCGTTTGCCCTTTTTAGATGATTGTTCTCAAAGAACCTTATATACATCATCAAATAATAATTTACACCACTTTAGCTTCAATACTGTACCAAAATCAATTCCTCCCTCTCTTGTTTCAAATCAAGATCGTCGAGCTACAGTTAATAAATCATCAGCATCGGTTAGTTCAGCATTCTAAATTAGCCTTTTCATAGGTTTTGAGTATATTTATAGACGTCCTATTATTTTTGATGGCCACACTTTGTACTTAGGTTCATCTGAAGGAACATTCAAGTTTCTAACAGAAAAATATTAACCTTTCGTTTTAAGTCTATTCATTTTTACGCGAATTGTTATTTTAATCATGTCTCAGGAAGTCCGCTTTGATGTATTTAGCTGTGAATGTATTCTTGGATTCTGCCAAATCCTGTCGATTTCTCAGTATGATTAAGCAGTAGATAGCAAAATGAATAACGGATAATTCCAATGGAATATAGCTTATTATTATGAGTATTCAATATTTTTTATGGCTTTTTAAAAATGCTCACTTATGGACTTTTTAATCATTGCATTTGTCAATGGAATGGATTTGCTTCAAGTAAAGAGATTAAAAAGGTTACCGTGGTTTACCTGTAAATGAGTCATATTATAATGTGTATGTAAAAACTGGAATGAATCATAGTGTTGTGAAAAATACTAGAGTATTTATCTAATTAGACAATTCCATTTTTTTCAATGGTTAAGATCATGACTCAGTTGGAGCTAAACCACCATGGAAAACCTGGAAGCACTGGACGGTCGTTTCGTCCTATTATGAGACTCCCCAGCGGTTGGATGCCGGCTCAGTGGTCTAGTGGTTAAGTGCTCGCGAGCGAAACTAGTAGATCCTGGGTTCGAATCTCGCAGGGGGCGAGGTCGTGGATGCGCACTGCTGAGGAGTCCCATAATAGGACGAAACGGCCGTCCAGTGCTTCCAGGATTTCCATGGTGGTCTAGCTTGAACTGACTCATGATCTTAACCATTGAAATTACTACAATCTCCACAAAACTCCTTCTGATAATAATTCCATTTTTGTTTTAGTAATGTAGTTCATCTTGCTATTGTTAAGTGTGTCACAAAAAAACTACAGCGAAATCTGCACTAATTCCTACTCTGGATCATGTTCAGTGACGTCTAAAACTACTCTGTTGCATGATATTTGGGGCCTTTACTAGAAAGTTGTGATAGACCAAATACATCAATTCTTTACATCCACCTTTCTACTTCTTTCCATCCATTTCTAGCGTCAACAAGTAACGCGCTCATCCGAAAAAGGTAAAACACTATTCAGAAGGAATATTGAGGCTATCGAAGACAGTATTCAAAAGACCATTTCGTCAACTAAATCATACGACCACTTGATGGATGGTCATAGTAGATAAAAATTGTGTTTAAACCCTTCTATCATTCGGATTTAGAATAAACTTTAAAATGTATACTTTGTAATTTGTTATTACAGTCAACTCTTGAAAAAATGTGTAACGTTTCTTATGAATTTACAAAGACATTTACTAGGAAAATTGAAGTGATATGACGCTCTATTATATATATATATATATATATATATATATAATAAGAACACAGTTCATTGTTCACAGTGCATATAAATTTTAATAGTTGAATTCATTAGTCGATGTAAGACAGACCACTATTGAAAATCTGGAAGCACTGGACGACCGTTTCGTCCTAGTATGGGACTCCTCAGCAGTGCACATCCACGATCTCGCGCGTTGACGCTTAACCTCTAGACCACTCAGCCGGCATCGACTCATGAATTCAACTATTAAAATTGACTACATTCTCCACAAACCTCTATTCTGATCATACAAATTTTGTTAGAAATATATTTTAAAAAACAAAGAAAAGTAATGATTTATCAATTTGAGATCAGTACATATGTATGAATTGCTAACCTTAAACAAGGAAAACTTTCATTTTAGCAAATTATTAATAAATATTACTAGTTTTAACCCTTTGATAGCTAGAATATTCCATTTTTGTTAAATTTTGATTTCCTTATAGTCTCAACCTGTAGAAAGTTCATCAGCGCTGTAAGTTAAGTTAAACCGTCTACTTGAAGCCATTTTACATTTTGCAGTATTTTTTTGTAATGATTTAATAATTTTCATTAAAATATCAAACAGTGAAATTCAATGAAGACATTCAATTTCAATGAATTTATGATCAAAATGTTTGTTTGCATATCGATGTATGTATAATGATTTAGTCGCGAGAAAGTTTAAACAATGAGTAGCATTGTCAGAGTAATAATGAGAACTATATCATATATAATATAAAATGTTGAACATTATTATTATACGATTTACTGTTCCTAAATTATGCTCAGTTTATCAAATACTGCCTCACACGTTCATATCCACTTTTTGGCTTTATTGTATACAAATGTTATTTCCTATTTTATAGTGCGTTGCGGTCTGTTTGTTTGATATATAAACACAGTATGTTTGAAATATGTGATTCGCATACTGGAAGCTGATATTGGTGTTCTGGACTCATGTGGACAGGCTAGGCGAACGTAGGATTAATAAGGTTGCTAGGCTGCTCGTACTGGTCGAACGTCATCGGTTTGGCACAGTGCTAAGATTGTAAAAGTCGTATTTTGATTGGTGGGTAAATCACGTGATAGAAAGCCGGACATAAAGTCATGACAACCACAACTCCTTTCATACACATACAATTTAAATGTGGTTAGTCACGGTTCTTTGTGTATACATTTCATACATTATAAACTAAGCTGACCTAGGAAATAATTCTGACTTGAAGTAAGCATTGATGAAAAGTATTTTGAAGAGGCACTACAAGATGGTTCGAGGAAATATTATCTTTTTGTACATGACTAAAAATGATATCATTCATTAATGTCATTCTTATACGTTCATCATTTTAAAGGAATTAGTTATACTAACACTTCTACTTAATATGTAAAGTGATCAAAACTTAATTGAAAATTAACAATAACATTAGAAATCAGAGCTGCAGTCTATTTCTATAAAAAGAAATTGTTGCTAAAATAGCGAGAAAAGACCTGAATTAATTATTACTATAACCTGTTTTCAGTGTCACATGCAATCTTAATAACTTAATTTTAGCCAATTGGTTTGTAAAAATCAACTGAATTGAGACAGATACTTCTCTTTTATAAGTTGTCGTTATGTTCATTAAATGTTGCTTTCATCACTACAGAGCTATCGAAAAACAAAGAGTATTGATCCACCATTTCATTTTGTTTCAAACCATACCTTCAACTTTACGCTAGATTGTATCTACAATATTTAAGTCTCCTGTAGAGCACTTGTCTATCAGCTAATGAATTGAAGTCTAGTGTTGCATATTCTTCAACTCCAATCAGTTTACAATACTGCTCGATCATCATCATTTACTGTTATCAGTGAATAATAATGTCACTCCTTTCTTTCGTTTATTTAGCTTTCAACAGGGGGCAAAATTAAGCTCTCCACAAAAGTCCATTTATTTAACAGTTTTGGAAAATATCCGAATGCTCGACAACGAAAGAAATGTGAGTTTACGTCTTTTGAATGTTTATTTTAATCGTAAATTTCTAATATTTTTTTTAGAAATCTTTTATTTAACCTGTATATTCAGTCAGTAAAATTAGTAAAGGTTATCGAAACTGACCAATTGCCAAACGTATAAGATTGTTACCTTCCTGTACACAACATTATGCTGGTGTTTAACAGTGTTTAAAAATGTTGAATATAAACTAGATATTTGTTTACTATACGATGCTCTTTATTTATTATATCTGATGCATTTACGTCCATCTGTATCTTAATTTATTCAGCTCCCACTTGATATGTTTCTGTGATTTGGATCAAAAAGACACTACTAAAACATAATTATTTTGGCACTGTTTAGAGTATTAATAAATTTACAACTCTATTGTGCTATTTAAAAGGTTTGACTAAAGCAAGTGTAGTAAATGGGGCGAATCGAAAGGAAGTAATATGTATATAAAACTATTAATAATTACATAGTGTCTCAAATCATTTTCTGATTATTTTTTAATTTTTTTTAATAAACGAAAGTCTTTTTGAATGATGAAGCTTTGTCAGTACAATACAAGTAATATTTGTAGTCCATCGTTCTCTTCACTAAGGTGAATTTTCATTATATTCACTGGGTCCTGTGATTACACGTTTCAAAATGCGCCTTTACAAGTTTCCGGACATCCTCAAAACGCACATTTTTTCAACAGCTAAATCCAATAGTTTTATTCTTAAAATGTAATGAATGAAAATTTTCATCTTACTGTTTATTTAAATTCTGTTACAAACTTTTATAATTCCCAGTAGTATCAACTGCATAACTAAATAATAACATTTCAACTTAACAGACCTCGGAAATTTTTTAACTTGTTAAAAGAAACCACTTTGCATGTTCCTGAACCAGCAGTTTCATAAATATTACTTCATTAGTGAAGCTACTAGTAAGGGGTTATCGAAATTTCCAGTTCTCATATACAATGAATCTTCACAATTGATTGATCACTGGGTGGTGATCAGTGTCATGTGTGTCCAGTCCTTATTAGTACAGGTTGAATGCTATCGATCATGTTGCGATGTGGCCGCCAGTCTAGGTGACTCAACACTGCGGTCACTATTGTGAGACTAGATGGTGGTTGGAGGTAGTCAACAGGAGTGTCAAGTAGTACGAAACCCGGGTCCAGGGTTTCCTGTCGACTACTTCCAACCACCATCTAATAATGAATCTTCATTTATGTTAGACCTCACCTTTTGCCCTAAGAGTTCATCTAATTTCCGCATCTGTTTCGTCACACACACAATCTGATAAAGCGTGGGTTTTAGAAGTATTGATATTTTAAAAGATCTTTAGATACTACTTTTCTAAAGCTGCTCACCAGTATAATGGAAAAAACAGCTTTATTTGACATAGAGCAAATCTGAAAATTCTATCGCTTTAACCACAAATGAAGATTGACTTCTTCTTGAATCGTTTATATATATATGAACTTTTCTGTAAATGTTTGTTATCTTGCAATAATTAATCTTAAAAATAAATAAATGATTTTTAATAAGGTGATGATTAACATTGTATTTACGATAATGTTGACGTTAACAAAAGCATAATACTTTAAGCGAATTTACTTTCTTGGTTTCTTATAGGATAAACAGACGGATAGCAAAACTCAATCGTGGATTAAACGTCTAAGTATAGCGTCAGGATTAACTTCAACAAGTAAAACAAATGTTGGTCATTTAGAGTTGAATTCTATCAGCATGAAATCTATGTCATTCAATATATTACGATTAGCTGTAGAGTGTACATTAGATGAGAATAATGGTCTACGTCATTCAGCCCAAAAAGTATCCGTTATACGTAATTTTTCCTATTATTAATTTAATGTTTAGTAAATTGTTTTGTTAGATCATATCCACAAATAAAAACATGTACGCACATAAATTAGACATTTACTGTATCGATGAAAATAAACCATGCTCAGATTTGATAACAAAAATCTAACATTGTCTTTTCCAATCAATTTTAAGTCACATTGTTGACCACTATCTGTTATCTGTAATTGTTGCTTTGAATCAGCTTGGATGCTAAGAAATACTTTTAAGTATTTTTTGATGACATTAACATAAAAGTTATCCCAGCATGTTTGCGATGAAATAATTCCAACTACATGTTCAAAAGTTTTGAGGAAGTTTTCTTCGGAAAAAACTAGACACTGAAATGTGAATACCTTATAGGTTACTATACTGACGAAATCTGAAACTTCTATAACCCCTTAGGTACATTGTGGTCATATATATACTAAATTCCACAAGTATTTTATTTCATAAATGTCACTGAAAACAACCTCAGTACGGTATCGATCTACTTTTAACTGGTTTATTCAGCATTTGGCTTTACGTACTGAAATTAGGCTATTCAGCCTTCATTCGATCTTAAATTATATTTTTATGGAGAAAGGGAGAATAATGGCAGGTATTTTGTTGGCATTTTGGTGTCTAGGATTTTCGGGACCTTTTTGTATTTCATTTAACAGTTCATTGAATAATTATTTGCCTAACACAACATTCTCACCTTAATAAAGAACGTTTTCGTCAGTTAACATTTGTAGTTCCCAGGGTATAAAATATTGAATATCCGGTCTTCTGCTTATATTGCCTTCTTGTATATGGTTTTTCATCTCGTCGTTTTATGATTATGACCAAGTATAAATTAAAACAATAGGCAAACGGAAGGTAACAAAAGTTACAAACTATTGACATATTACAAATACATAGCTTGCAATCGTCTATTTGCATCTTTTGGTGTATGCTGTCATCTGAACTGTCTTCTCATCTAAGTGCTGTACTTTCCATGCACTCAAACTTCACCCTGTTAGACAACTGTTGCAATTTCAACGCCATGTTCCGCTACACACTACTTACAAATATTCTTGTATTGGTAGTAGTTTTTGGGGGTTTTCATAAAAAGGTGATACCCTTTTTTATATTAATCAACACTTCTGTTTCACTTTGTGTCACGAAATCGCAGACTTTTGAGATTAATAACAGTCTATTTTGTTTAGGCCATTAATGATGTCGGAAGGCTAATACGATGGTATGATGCTGATCTTTTGTTGGAAATGATTTCGTTGCATATGGTAGGTCCTCCAACTATGATGTCGTATGCAACTTTAAAGATCTTACGTGATGGTCTATCTGAATTATGCGTGTATGATGAAATTTTACAAAAAGAAGAGGAAGAACCTGGTTTCACTGAAAAATATGCGATTTGTGGAACTGTTCCCATTTTAAATGTAGCATTGCTTTATGGTTTGTTTTCGCCGGACACATCAAGACTTTGGCTTCAATGTTGCCAACAATATATTCTGGATAGTACAACGGCTCTTTTTATCAGTACCTTATCAATAGAATGTGCTCTGAGAACCCTTTGTCTTGTACACAGATTGTCTAATCTATCACTAGTAGCATGCACCTGGGAAAATATGAGACCTAATCCTTTTTCAAATCTGCCATACTCACAACGTAAACTAGATCTAGATGCGAATGATGTAGTAAGTTACTTTGGAACAATCAAAATTTACGATATTATATTCATATCAAACGTTTCTTGCATATGATAATATGATATGTTTTAGCTTCGATTAAACAAACGGTTGGTCTCTAAGTTTATTAAAAAATGAAATGTAGTCTTCATTTTTGGGACAGAATTTACGTTCTCAAGTTTTGAAGATTTATGAATAAATTATTTCAGTTTAATAGTAGTCTACAAAAATAACATGATAGTTAGTGCAAATATAATTTACTTTAGATAGACATTTAAAGCAACTCATTTTAGACATTGTCATCTTATTTCAAATGTAACGTAATAGATGTTAAAAAGAGATTGGAACGAAGAGAATCCCATCCCAACCAATAGATGTACACTTGTAAAACATGTTCAAAAATGATGGTTCGTTCAAAAGACGCTATCTGTTTGTTTGTTCAATTTATTGGTATAATACACGTGACTCAGTATTAAAGTGAACATCTATTAACTAATACGAAAACGCTCTTTAATTTCTTCTAGATGAATGTTTAAACTTTAGAACTTTCTCATATAAATTAATTAAAATGTATGTATTTATTTTTAAACCAAACGAATTATCAAAATAACGAGGTCGCTGTAACTACAATTCTATTCTTATCATTTGATTACAAACTTAAGCCTAATACCTTCATCGTGTATGGGCTCCGACCTATATTTTCCAAGTAACTCTGTTCTGAGCTTTACCTCAAACGAATCTGTCAGTTGTGCTCCATGCACGATTTTGCAGTTTAATCCATCATAGGCATTTCGTATGATATTGACCATCTTCTCAGGTACGCTTCCATAGTGTTGTCCTGTCCACGCTATCAAATGCTTTCTCGTAGTCAACGAAGTTGATATAGAGTGATGAATTCCATTCAATTGATTGTTCCACAATGATCCGTAGTGTTGCGATTTGGTCGGAACACGATCGATCCTCACAGAATCCTGTCTATTGGTCGCTAAGTTGAACGTCTCCGGAGTCCTTTATTCTGTTTAACAATACCCTGTTGAAGACTTTCCTGGTATTGAGAGAAGAGTGATTCCCCTGTAGTCAATACACTTGCTGAGATCGCCTTTCTTTGGTATTTCGACCAGAAGTCCTTTCCAGTCTGTTGGTACTTGTTCTTCATCCAAAATCTTGCTGAAGTGAATGAGGAGTATCCTTGCAGTTGCTGCTATGTCTGGTCTGACTGCTTTTCCGCTCTTGATTTGTCTGATGACCATGCTGCTGATCTCTTCAATTGTTGGTGGGTCAACATCGATTGGGAGGTCCGTGGGTGCTACTTCGATGTTGGGTGGGTTCAGTAGAGCTGGTCGATTCAAGAGTTCTTTTAATGTTCTACCCACCTGTTTCGTTGTTCTTTGATGTTGCCCTCCTTGCTTTTCACTGATCGTTTTAGTCTATGATAATTTCCTGCGAGTTTGTTTGTTGTGTCATACAATTGTCTTATGTTTCCTTCTCTTGCAGTTCTGATGCTCCTCTTCACTTGTTTGTTTACTTTTGTGTATTCAGCTTGTGCCTTGGCTTTTTCTGCTCTTGTTCGGTTGGTATTGTTTGCTGTCTTCTTGTTCCTTCTTTCTTGAATCTTATCCAGTTGTGTTAGTTATTCAAGTTTTAGATTTGTACAATAGAATTATTTTAACATTTATGTTTTCAATTATGACTTTGGAGTTGAGAAACAGTTGTTTCGAGTTACAGATGTTCTTCAGCTGTTTGGATGTCCTTATGGCTACACCAATCCGTGCCTTCACATCTGCATCAAGTCCCGCTTGCTTATTATTGACGTTGTCCAGGTACGTTAACGTTTCCGTCTCTTCCAGAGCTTCTCCATCACGTGTGATTTGGTTGGTTCTCAGTATATTGTCCTTCAGAATCTTTCTTTTTTCTTATAAGTGTTAAAGCGTGTTTCTGCTGAAGCCGCCCTTACATTATCTGTCTTCACCTAAATTTATTGTTTCGTTTGTGATAGAAGTGCTAAATTATCCATAAAGTTCAAATCATCCAGCTGTATCCAAGGTCTTCTCTGTATTCCATGTATTTTCCAGTATGTGTCGGTCTTCATAATCCAATCAACAAGCAGAAGATAAACGAAAGGTGAAAGCAGGTAGCCTTGGCTTAGGGTGATTGCTGACTCTCTTCTCAGACCTTCTTATTTATCCGGTGGTAGGTCTAGAGGAGCTCCAGGTGGAGTTGTTCTTAGTGTTTACTTTACTATAAATGCATTTGGAAAAGTGGACTCATCAAAATTCACGGTGAACTTAGGTTGGAATCTTTTTCATACTTGATACTTATTATTCATCATAATCTATATTCTGAATTAAATTTTTCTAGGAGAATAAAAACTTTTTCATTTAGTTTACAACTGTAAATACCCATCGACACATTAGTGGTGAAAAATGTGTGTGATATAAAAATTGTTTGCTATTTTAAAACATTTTTGTAGTCTGAAAATTTGTTTTGGAATTCCTCAATTCAAAAAATACTCACCAAATATCAAGAAAAATAAATTGCTGAACTCCAGAACGTATTGAAATGAAATCACTCTAACCCTTAGGCAGTAAAAATAATGAAAGTGCTTCAAAATATCCTATGAAAATGCTGAATGACATAATACTAATTTTGTTAAACTGGGGAACACATCATTTTGTGTTATGGTATATAGCCAATAACTGTGAAGTAAATTTAATAAACGAAAGACTAAATAAACCTATAGTTGGTTGGCTATGTTTATAATGCATAGTTTTGAGAAACCTGAGTATATTTTTAACATGGCGGTCTTCAGTAAGTTGAACAATTTAGAGTTGTACAAAGTCTAGATTTTCACTCTTTTTACTTGTAAATAATATTAGTGCTGATAAATTTAACTTGATGTCACATAGGTTTTGAAACTTAAAACTGGTTTGATATTAAATCCTTTATTTAATAAAAAAACTTTAGGTAGAATGCATTAAAAGCGTTGTCGAATTCGCTCAACGCATAGACGTGAAACTTGGACCTACAAATGAGCCAATACTGAATTTTGTCAATTTGCACAAAATGATGATAACGCAGAAGCCATATTTATCATGGTATGTAACACTTGTCTGGACGTTTTATATACCTTATAGTTTGTTTATTCAAACAACAAAGTATAAGGATACCGTCGATTAGCTTTAAATTTTTGAATATTTATTTTACAGTGTTGCTAATAGTTATTGAAATTAACTTCTCCGTGGTAATCGCACTCTAAAAGCAAAATACACTGTTCCTACCGATTGCACTAAACTTATTTTTGACGACACTTCAAACAGATTGCCAATATCCTCTTATGTTGGGTGAACACTAAACTAACTTATACATGGCACAAAGATAGTTTTATTCTTAATAAAAAAATAACTTCATAATTCACCAGTATATTTTGTCATTCTTGTTAGAAAATAAGCGAGTTCACTGACCTAACTATTACAATCAGCGATATTATATAATGTATCTATGACTTACAATCATTTTCTGGTTGTTATTGTTACCTATTAAAGTAGGTTCATAAAAAATTAGACGAGTAAGAGGTCTATGGGAGCGGTAATTCCCATCCGCAATACCATCGATTTCGCCATGTCGTACAAATTAAAATGTCCTCACTTATTAAACTTAGAAATTTTCGCAATCAATAGTCACACTATCATGTAAAAACTGGACCTTTAAAATCAAATAGGATGTCTACTTTTAGGTTCTGTGTTATTATTTCATTCGGTATCATAACCTAAGTGTATATATGGTTTATATATGTGATAGAACAAAGTGGTAAACCCAATAAATTGCTTAAGTTCACCATGTCTAGGGTCACCATTTTATAGGGAAATTAAACATCATTCATATCATATTCAACTTATAATGATTGAGACAATCACTTGATAATTTTAACAGAATTATGTCATTCACGTTTGATGTATTCTTAACTATTTTGTTCTATTCAAGTAATTGATTTTCGGAATCTAACCAACTATTTATGTTGTGAATTCTGAAAACATCTTAGTTAACAGGGCTTACCTTGTTTAATTTTGAAAATTTTGAGTACTCTTGATATATGTTTCATTACTTATAAGAACACAAGAGATAAAAGTTAAACTTGTGTGCGTTTTGACACAAATCGAAACTCTTTTCTACAGCGATCTTAAAAAATACAACTGAAAACCATTCTTGCTGTTGTACAAAATGTACACACTTAAAACTTTGATCAGAGATGATAATTACGTTTTAATTTCATAGTTTACATTTAGTAAATTTGAGGACTTCTATTTCGGCTGTAAAATTGAGTTTTTACCGAATACCCAGCTGTAAATGATAGGAATGAGTTTCTAAAAAGTTGTTTTGATTAACAACCTTAGAAATTTGAAGGAAATTCGGACTCATGAATTTAGTCACTTCATTTTATTTATCTTTATACTAATCAACTGACATTATTTAGTATTAAAAGCTAATATATAATTACTGAATACTCTCTATAGCCTACCTGATATATGAAGACGCTGAAACGATCAAGATTAATTTATAGTCCCAAATTATACTTGGGATATTATTCGAAAAGAATGCAAAATATAGCGTAGTTATATTATCTTACCGAAGGACTTTCGATTTCGCTTTTATAATAAACTTTTTTGTCATATCGCTTTTGACTTTTGAATTCCCATTGGTTTATTTAGTTTACAGCTCCCTCAATCAACTGCAAAGTGTTCACTTACATATTTCATCCTCAAGCTGGTTACTAAACTGGAGTCGGTTATATATTCTTATATACCACCATCCGTAAATTCGAGTCGGCCTAATCCAGACGTTCGTATGACCGGTGGTCTTCTTTTATCCCCAATATTGCCATACCTTATTACGTGGCCGTTAGCTCTTCTTCCTCCTAGCTTGGATAAAACTTTAGGGAATCCATCAAAGGAGGCAAGGATACTTGCTGTTCGTAAACTACTTCGCCTGTGAGTTTTATGTAGAACTTTAATTGTTGAAGTAGTTCACTGTTATCGCTTAATTACATATTGCTCCAAAAATTTGCTTATCATGATTACTTTCACATTGTAGATTGTTTTCTAACTTGATAAAAAGGCCTAAGACCCTATGAATTCTCTCAAGAGCAGCGTATTTAACTGTTCTTGATCTGTTACAATATGAAAACAAGATATTTCAGCATTATTCAATAATCATATCTTATATAAAACAGGCACTTTCTTAGTACATTATGCTCATTTAAATTCCCAATAGATTCGAATGTGAATGCTTTTGTTTTTGACGAAAGACTATTCGATAAGGTCAACTTTATGACGATTCTTAATCTACTGAAGCAACAGAAACAAGATGTTAGTTATGTCTATAACTAACCAATCAAATCGTTGCTTATACTCCCACAACGTTAATTGGTCTGATGTGTCTGTATATTATCCCCATTACATGTAATCTGCCAACTGAAGGACATTATTATCCTACTATATCAGTTTGACTCATAATTTCTATTCGTTTCGATAAGATACGGAATACTGGTTGGTATGTTTGTGCGTCTCACTTAATGACTATAATTCCTTTAATTATTGTACTAATCGAATTGTTTTTTACGTTTAGAAACAGATCACGTTTAAAGCACAGTTGCCCTTGTTCTGACCATAGCTTTCATATATAGACTCTGAGGTCGCCAGTATCACGTTTACAGTTGTAGTAGTATATTTGTAAGAAAAATTAAATTCTACACTTGTGTCACATATAACAGCAACATGGGTGTTAAAACGTAATGACAGTTAGTACGAGATAATGAAAGACAGTTTTTCTAAAGTAATAATTTTAAGTGAGTACAAACAACCAAAAACAGTTTCGTCACGTGTTTTAGTGAAACATGGAATATTAACGAAATCCTTGGAATACGGTTATAGTTAATATACCACGTGTGCGCAAACTGAAGTCTTCAGAATTAAGTGAAGTATTTATTTATTTGGATTTCTATTAATTGTTCTAATATGTTTGCATAAGTAAGTTTCCTATTATTATTTACAGAATTGCAGCTATAATACTTGCATTGCCGATCACAAATAAGCCTGAATTTTCAAAAAGTGAATCAAGTGCATTAAAAGGTAATGCATTACTAAAAGAGCTAGCATCAATTGCCGAACATTCTGTTGAATTAGAAACTGTTGTCTGTGCTTGTTTTACTCAACTGGAAAATCTTGTTTCTCAGTTGGTAAGTATTAGTAATTCTTTTAAAACATTTACCTTCCCATTTTTACAGACTAATTACGACCGTCGTTAAAAACGTCCTACCGAAATTAAATGTAAGACCCTCCCGGTACATAGGGATCTGAGAATTTTCTAATCCAAAAACAAATGAAGCAGAAATTATCTTTTTATTTAGTAATTACATGATGAAAACTATTGGTATGATTTACATATACATACTCGTTGATACTTGGACAACGTAATCTTTTAAAATGATTTTCTAGTGTATTGTTCTGTTAAGGCCTCATTAACAAGACAAGCTGTTTATAAACTCCTAATTTCGCGTTACTAAACCGATCAGTGATCACGTTATTATGTTTACAAGTCACCACACTATAATTAATGTAAGAACCATGCTAGAAAAATTGACTGATTTGACAAACTGTCTTTTTACTAATAAGCAAAATAATTGCTTAAGTTTCTTATAATATTCGTGTAATTCATTTTCTGAAAAAGTCTGATTTACACTGCTGTGCGAATCAATGGTCGCCTATGGCCATTATTAATAATCTGACAGTGGACGATTCCATGAGAGGCAATACTCCAATAAACTATTTATATTTGAAAGCTCAGACTATGTATGTAACACACTTGAAATTGACATAAGCTTCCAATGACGCTTGTAGTGGCTGAGATTCGTTAATCAATCACATTGATAACCGTTACTACACAAATCCCAACGGTGTATGAATTCAGAAGGCAATAAGAAGCGGCGACTACAGTTTATTTGCGGATAGCACGGATAACAAAGCTATAAGCACATCGAGCGAATATGTATGTGCATATAAGAAAGAGAATGAGTCATCGAGCAATATTTAACAGTTAAGCTAGAAAAAGATATGTGCGTAGGCTGTCCCATGTGATCAAGCATACACGATTATACATACATGATAACGATCATAATAATACAGAGAAATAGACAAGCTGTTATTGTCCGAATAAATGAGTTAATAAAATGGCTCGACAAAATTGACTGTAGGAGAGTTGTTGTACACTCTTTAGGGTTATATTTTGAGGGTTTTTTCCTATGACACTCTTCCTTTTAATCCGACTACTTTATTCATTTTTATAATACCAGACTGTTGAAAAATTACTATAATGCATCAAATTAAAGGAGTAAAATAATTTCAGTAAAATACCAATACCTTTCAAATATTAGCTTTTTCGTGTAATTCAGTATTTGAATTCATTGCTACTCATGGTAAACAAACAATGAAAACTTACCAGCAGATTCACCTAAGATGCTTCTAAAATATTATTCATATTTTAGAATCTTTATTTGTTTTGTCGTCACACAAATGTTCATCAGTATTATATTTTCAATATAGAATCAATATTACGAACCTACTCGAATATGTACTACTACCTCATGGTGGTGGATCCGTGCACTATGTGAACATCTACCTCGACTTATGCAAGTCTCTCCATTTTCCAATCCTGTAAACATATTACGTCTTCTGATCGAAGACGTGAGAAGGAAATCTATATTATCAACAAATACCAAACAAAATACTGGTCACCAGACAGCTGAACAAACAAAGTGGTCGAGAGCACTTGAATACGGTCTTCAGGAAGCCAAATCTATAATACGAGTAAAAGAAGGTAGTGGAGCGTTAAAGTACCAATGGCCTAAAGTTGGTGAAATTTTACAAGCCAAAGAAACTATAGAAAAACAGTATATACTAGAAAGCAAAGGTGGAATAATATCACCGACAAGATCACTCTCATCTCATATCATAGATACTGATCCTTCCCCAATAGATGAAGAACAACATCGTTTCTTTGTAACTAGCGATAACGAAGAAGAAGAGGTTTGCATTCTACAAGAAGAAGTAGATACTTCCTCCTCTTCTGATAATGATGATGATGATGAAGAAGAGCAAGAACAAGAAAGTAAAGGTAGGATTTTGTCACTAAATTTAGTTGTATTAATGTTTAAATATGATATTAAGAAAGCAATCATGATGTGACAAAATTGAACGTTTAACTTGGTATGCAGGATGTTGAAAAGAGTCAGAAAATAATATAATTGTTCAAAAAATAAAATGTGTTAAAGTCTCCGGTTAATGATATTTCACATTTTATGAATTACAGAAAGAAATCTCACTTTCCCATTTGAACATAACTCATCTGTTGATTTAAGTGCTCATATTTGTCTTTAAACCTGTTTCACTTTTTTGTGACTCTGGCTCAAATTTGATGGAACGTTGGCGTTAAACAAATATATATGCCACAGACCCTCGTACATAATTATCGACGTAGTTCGCACTAGAGAATAACGAAATAAAATGAATTTTGAATATGTATATTTTAATAAACTCGTTACCCCAAATAAGCAATCATAGAAACGAAGTGAAGAAGCAAACCGGAGTAGATAACTGTGTCAACTCAGTCTGATAAAGCCTGACTCAACATCTATAGCTAAACAAAAGTAAGCTAAAGATATGTGATGAGTAACATAAGCAATGGACTTACATACGCTCATATAAAAATATTCAAGATTAATAAGTGAATAATTGATAAGATCAAAATGTGACTCATGAAGAATGAATAAATTAGTCTATCAGGAGGCTAGAATAACCTCTGTGGGCTTGAAACAGTACAGACATCACAACGTGATGCCTAAGATGAATGTTCAGCGGCACTTAATTTTCAACCTTTACTTAAGTTTAGATCCATTTGTATGCAGCACCATCAACTCACCTACGTGAGTTTTCAGTTCTTTGCATTTTCATTCACGTTTAACCTTAGACATGAACGTAAATGTCTTACGTTTTATTCGACTAAATGGTATATTTGCTTTTACAACAAATGCCAGTTATGTTTTGATGTATTCTCTGTTTTCTAGAGTATACAAACAAGTTTTTTTTTATAATTTCTTTCTAGATAATTTATTGCATAAACAAGAGAGAGTCCGCAGCCTGTAAGTATTCCTCAACTGCTTTCGTTATATCCTTGTGTCCCATATCTTTATTAGAATTCGACGATAATTTTGGTAGAGTCATTCCCAGTTTAGTGTAAAAATTGTTGTACATTATAATTCTGTCTATAAAAATGTTATATATTGAGGGGCCGCTGAGTAGATGGGCAGTGAATTATCGATCGGATCAAGGACGCGTAAAACACGTGCGAGAGGCGTAGAGTTCTGATTGGCCCTGCCAGTTAAGTCTAGAACGCCAGTTTCAGCCTCTGCAATACGAATCGTTATATTTCAAACATACCAGGTTTATATACCAATCAAACAGACCACAACGTAGCATAAAATAGAAAATAACATTTGTACAAAATTTGGCCAAATGTGGCTGTGAATGTGGGAGGCAGTGACTAATAAACAGGGCATAATTCAAGAATGGTAAAACGTATAATAATGATTCATAGGTCAAAATAAAGCTTATAATAAGAGGAACATGAATATGCATAGTTTACTTATTTAACAATTATACGATAGAAATATACGTTTAGTATTGGTCCACAAATGGATCCCAAAATTACCATTCATTATTCTTGTCGGGACATAGCAAAAAAATCAATAATTCATTTTGTTTTACAAACTTAACAGTGCGTTAATGCATGTGGGTTGTGGTTAACAGTGGAATCAGGCCACCCGTTTCATTTTGTTTCAGCAGAGTCGTCTGTGTGTACCGGAATCCGAATATTGATGCCGACATTGAGAATCAAGTTTAAAATCTATCGCTTCGAAAATGAAAACCATGTTCATTAAATTACCAACCCCATACAACCACTAACTTATTCAACGGATATGAGACTACCTATACAACGATATGTTCCGTTGTTGACGCTGTCGATTCCCAATCGTGAATTGTTTCTTTGCTTTGTTAGGTTGTTTTCTATGGGACATGCCTTAATAATAAAAGGTTGAGAAAGTAGAAGATTGAGAACATTTGCGCACCTTCACACAAACCTTGATCTTGATCATCTAAATTATTAAATTTGCTACTTTTGGAAACGTAAGAATACCAGGAAAAATAATTGTACTTCACTTAGGTAGCACATGGAAGGCATAACTTGATGTAATGACATTATATTTTTCTGAATCCATTATCGCGTTTTTTTGTATTGGGTTTGCCTAAATAATATTTGCTAGTTCGTTTGGTTTCGCCTTACTTTAAAGATCCCAGTAATAAAATACATATAGCTGTTTATGGTCTCTGACTATCAACATTATATCTTACGGTTGTAAAAGGAGGCAATATTTAGATTTTTATTGACATTAGGGTATATTATGATAATAATAAATGTTTAAGTTTGACAAGCTAAGAGAAGTCGCTTTATGTATACTGAGATTGACGGTATATAATTCAGAATTGATTGAACGTTTTAGTGAATTGAAGTGTGTCTCACTAAACGTCTTTATTCAAAGGAAAGGCGCAACAGTTTAGTGTAATTACTTTAAAGTGTTACGTGTAACTAGATAAAGAGAAATTACCACCATTGTGTCAATGCCAGTATTTTAACGCCTGTGACGGTTGACTTAAATTCGAATCGTTTTCACCAACACGGTTATTAAGCCAATGACATAGTACAATTATAATCTTTTCTTCTGTTTTCCTACAGAACGGTTACCCGTAACAAATGAGCAGAGTATAACACGGAAAACGTTTACATTTGTAACTGGCCACTAAAATCGTTATAGAGGGTTGATGAGTAAGGTATTATCACACTTTAGTACAGAAACTTACTGATTATTATACAATACAGAAGTATTTGATCGAATGGTTCACTTCAAGATGATCCGGTGTTTAATCTATCTTTGATTAGACTCAATATTCTTCGGAAAGTTTAAATTGTATATACAAAGTAGAACAAGTCAACGTGTACCAACGTTATTCATTAACCATTTTAATGCGGAGCAACTCATAAATTAGTTGTGGTTTTCTCTTGAAACTGTTACCAAATTGGTTTTTCTATCTCAAGGTACTAGTCAACAACTATTCACTCGTATAATTCTCACTAGTAACCTTCGAGTTGATTTTTCTTTAAAATAAGTCAGTATTTTTTAGTTTCGTTTAAACCTATTCTTGGTAATTATTACACTGAATTTACCTAGTAAGTAATTCCTACAAAAAACACTTCTTGTATCATGGTTTAATCTACTTATGAACCCTATTCGTATGTAAATTGCAATCACATTTACCTTATTATGTAATCTTTATCAGTTAATATAAAATTTTATTACTTCTGTGTATATTTAGCATAACAAGGAAACCAGTATAACTAAATACTGTCAGTCTGTCAAAAGTTTGCCTCAAGTTTTGGTATGAGGACAGCTAACCAGTCAATTGTTTTTATTGATTTCTAGATTTTATATTTCTATGAAAGCTGAACCGATAGAAACACCACCAGCTCTAGAGGATGTACATGAGTTGACTGAACGTGTGCTCCAGTACTGTCGACCAGGTAAATATTTTTTTGTGTTTACTTAAGATCTTTCATTTTCATTCCTTACAAATAAAACACCAAACTACTCATAAAAAATAAACACACATTTCATATGTTTTACATGTTTATCATATTACCGAAACCCAATATTTATCTTCCATTTCTGGTTAGTATGGAAAGTTATCAACTTATGAGTATTCCATAAACCATTAACGAGACTGCTTTTCACAATCGCGACTTTTTTGGCTTTATATATACATATGTCAAGTTGAAAATACAGTTAAATGTATTCACGGAAATGGCATTCTCAATAAATTTTCTTCAGGTCGTACAGTTCACGTAGATATTAGTGGTTAGAAAGAGTAATCAGCTTTAGAGCAGATCATCTTTTCATGAGTACAAGATAATAATATATAATCGCTAGTAGAATATTCTTATTAACAATTATAAATATTGAAACCATTACCAGTTTATATATTTTATACTTAAATTAAGTTTTTATATGAAAAATTATTGAAAGAATAACAATCGGAATGAATAAAAGTTATATATGATGAAAGAAATCATAACGTAATACATGTAACGGTATAGTTTAAATAGAGTCTGATACATGTTACATAAATGATAAATAATCTATCAGAGCAAAATGATTGAAATAAATAAATTTAACTTGAGAAATTAATTAAGATAGAAATGACTACTGCGTTGAAATAAACTGGGTGATCAAGACTTTTCTTTTTTTTCCCATATCTTCAATTTTATGACAACATTGTTTTTAAAATGTTTCCTATTCTTCTTACATTTGCAAATATTTTCAACTAATAATGATCATGATAAACCTATAATAATAATAATAATATTGATTAATCTGCTGCATATTAAAGAAACATTTCTTTTTTACTTCTCAAGACCAAGTTTATCCAGACAGAGAGCATATACATACTTATTGTTCATTAAAGTAACTGTAAAGTACAGTTGATAACTTCAAAATGAAGTGAATTTTTCGATTGGTAAACATGGTAATAGCAAGTAAAGTTCAATTTAAAATAATTACTTAATTTAAATGTAGTATCGTCAAAACGTTAATTTTTTTTAATTTTTAAATGAATAGTAGAAATCGTTAATAATCGTGATGTAAACAAAATATGATAGAAAACAACATCATAAACAAAACAATAAAATGGGCAAAATATAATTTCTTTGAGATCAACTAGCTTTCTTACAATAATTATATACATTTACTATAAATATATATTTATGTAGTGTTCTGTATTGCATATATATTTCATGGTGGAAAATAGAAATATTAGTTTCATACCGTGTAGGGCTAATGACGTTTGCCATTTTACTTTGTAGTTATAGTAAATTTTAACAAAATATATTCATTCGTTCTGTTTTTTTTTTAATCTTAGATATTGTAACAGCTATACGTCAGGTTTTGTCAGATTTTGATTCACCAAACACTTCATCACTAGAAAAGTCAATACGGATTCAAGATGTTTTAGGATATACTAAAGCTCCTGCTATACAATGAACAACATTTTGTATTTTACTATCGTACATGTTGAATAAAGACCCTATCACTTGCAACTATAACAAAGGCAAAATTAATTCATTTTAAAATGAATTAAATGTATACGAACTGTTTCGTATTCTTACATTTCAACGATTTTGCATATAATATTTGGTTATAGCTCTTCTATATTGTCTGATTATAACGATTTTGTATTTTGTTGGGATAATTACAGCTGTGATAGACTGTTACTTAATGTGCTTTTACAGTCAAGTTTTCTATTATTATTGTTTTGTTTTCCTTCTCTTTAGTTCTTCCTCAAATATTTACTTCTTTAGCTTATTTAGTAATTTCATTATCGACTACTAGAAATGAACTAATGTATGTACTAAATAATTTATTTGTTATTAGAATCTTATCTTTTATGTCGATTGGTGATAATAATGCTAACAATTTATTAATAATATTAATTACTTTTGTTGCAAAAATTTAATATCATCCGAATGTCAATGTTCTATTTAATTTCGTCTTAATTAGTTTCTTACAAATCCCCTGTGATTTTAATTGTTAAGCGTAATTTTCAGTGATTTATCTTTGATACTGCATCAGTTAACTATGATAACATCTATTTAAAGATTTTAGTTTAAAGTAGTTAGTTTACTATTCTTAAATAATGTGCCCTCCTAAAATGTTCTCAAGTTATAGTGCATAAATCGTATAATATTTATTCTGAGCTTTTCTGTGGAAAGACGTCTGCAGGCGAATAACATGGCTTACACTAGCTAAAATATCTTGAATACTTGAGTGTTCTTTACCATTTACTAGTCGGACGTAGTCAGTTTTACGGTGACATATTTATAGTCTGGCAACTAAACAATAATAATTATATATCTATATATATTATGTATACGGATATACCAAAAATATTCGGTGATGGGACCGTATTCACTTTAACACTATAAATCACTGTGATTTATTGGTGAAATTTGCGTATGCACTGCAAACAGTCACATGCTTTCAAAAAGTAACGCAAATAAAAATATTTATATCTAACTCAAATAATAAATGAGATTTCATGTCATCAAGGTTTTTTTATGAATTATTTATTGTGTAAATTTAACGATCACACGATCTGGAACCTAAAAAAAACAAACACCTAATATAAATCAAAATATTAGGCTGGTGTTTTGCACTAAATATAATGCCTGCATTTCATTGTTGTAAGTAATTAACCGACAGAAAGTACCGATTAAACTGCACAAATTTTCATTACTTTCAGCCATTGAACAATATAAATATACAAAGTCGATTTTATAAATGAATATATGAAAATGACATTAAGCTCTTGTTAAGATATTTGCTGAATAAATCAAACACTCACTATATCTTACAAGTGAAATGTGTTTTGAATTAATTAAAAAAAAGACAATTTTTTGATTAAACTTCAAGCTGAAAATAAGTGGACACTTATTCAGTCAAGTAGAATAAACCAAACAGTGTACCATTTTGCAGCCGTGTATAGATTCATTTTTAGAACATTAACCTGAGTTACATACGGTCTCTAGTAGAGACATTATAGAAGCAGAATTGCTGAACAGTTCAGGAACACTAGAAACTAAATAGCTGCTCAAGGATGTTAATAAAGATGATTCAATTGCTTACGACAAAAACATGAATACGACTAAACTCGGAGGAGGATTTGGATTTTTATCACTGAATAGCTTACCAAGTAAGTTGATTGAGGTCTTGAATTAAAGGTTATCACATTATCTACATGATATGTGGGAGAGAACCATAATGATTAATTGTCTGTTTAGTCAGGCATGCAGATAGTCTGACAGGCGTTAGATGAGTTATATAATTCCCTTATCCTTATTATTACTTATTATTGATTGTTCATTGTTGTTGGATTGCGTTGGGTTTCTGTGTAAGTCAGTCAGTAACAACGTGGAACTTCATACGTACGTACATCAATTCGAGTTGCCATACCACATCCGTACAGAGATGCAGTTGTCGATTCAAATCCCGTAGTGGTAGAGGTAGTAAGAGTATAAGCAGTAATCGGAAAGATTAGGGTTTGTAGATGTTATTTAAGGAGTATAATTCAGTGAAACAAATTTGGAAAGAGGGAAAAAGGAGGCACATGAGGGATTCAGAAGATTAGAATTTGGGAGAACACAAATAGTGGATACACCTGCACGATCGGTTGCTATCATTTCGTGGTCCCCAACCAGAAAGTCTACACCTACAAACATGGATCAGTCCACTTGTCAGTAACTTCATGTATTTGTGCCATGTTTTGGCCTGGCCGCCCCTATCTTTCTTCCAACCTACTCCTACACCATAAAACATAGCACGTCGGGGCATTCGGTGGTCAGGCATGCGCAAAACATGTCCCAGCCATCTCAACTGATGAAGTTTCTATACTTCATCATTTCATTTACTATCATTACCTAGTACCCGTTTCCTAACAACTGAGTTACTTACTCGGTGGTCCCAGGATATACGAGCAATGTTTCGAAGACACCTATGATCAAATACTAGTAACCTACGAATATCCTCTACTATTGCCGGCCATGTCTCACTGCCATGAAGTAGGACGGAACGAACTGCTGCGCAGTAAACCCGTCCTTTGGTTGGTAGATGGATATTTCGCCTACTCCACAAATGAAGCAAGTTGGCAAAAGCTAGTCGAGACTTCTGTATCCGTGCTGAGATTCCGTCACACACCAAACCACAAGGGCTAATCAGACTTCCAAGATAAGTTAAGCGGTCGACACGCTCAATTACTTCACTCCCTATCATTAGTTCGGGTGTCGATGCAACCCAATCCTGAAGAAACATTTTGCATTTAAAGGGAGAAAATCGTATGCCGAAAATGCTTGCATTGTTGCTTAGAGTGGTCAGCAGACTCTGTATTTTGTCAGCGTCCTCATCAAATAGAACTATGTCATCGGCATATTCTAAGTCAAAAAGTGAATTACCCGGTAGAACTTTAACCCTTGGGAAGTCAGATGTGGGAAGTGTTATCTCTAAAAGCATGTCAACGACAAAGTTAAACAAGAATGGAGAGAGTGGACAGCCCTGACGAACACCAATTGAGGTAATAAATTCTGATGACAGTTCGTCATAAGCTCTCACTCGACCAGTTGTGTTCGAGTAGAGAGCCTTTATAAGGTTAATGTACTTCTTTGGCACTCCTTTCAGTGACAAACACTGCCATAGAACCTCACGATCAACAGAGTCGAATGCCGCCTTAAGGTCGAGAAATACTACCATTGTGGGACGTCTGAATGTGTGTCTATGTTCTAGGACCTGATGTAATGTGAATATTTGATCAATGCAACCACGTCCAGGTCGAAAACCAGCCTGGTTTTCTCTAGTCTGCTCTTCATGAGCATTGGTTAGATGTCGAAGTATTATTGAAGCTAACATTTTAGACACTATATTAGTCAAACTAATTCCTCTGTGATTGTCACAAGAAGACTTTTGTCTCTTCTTTCTTATGGACTGGCACAATCAGTGATTGAGACCAGTCAGATGGGATTACGTCCAGTTCCCAGATTCTACCTAAGACCTCAGTCAATCTCGCTGCTAATACTGGACCACCATCCTTAAAAATCTCAGGGGTAAACCTGTCAGGGCCTGCTGCTCTCCCACGCTTCAGATTTCCTATAGCTTTTTCAAATTCGTAAAGAGTTGGAGGACTTACATCAACTTGCCATTCGGGTCAACTGGAGATCGTGGGAAACCGAAGTGTGGCAGTAGGCCAGTTGAACTGATCCCTAAAGTGTTCTGCCCATCGATCCAATCTCCTGGATTAAGAGTGAATAATATGTCCATTTTTTCTGAGATAGTTTCGCTAACAGTTGGGTTCCTAATATCGGTTTCCTTAACAAGTCTGAACAGTTGTCTGCTGTTACCTATTGCCGCTGCCATTTCCATCTCTCTTGCTTTCGCTACCCACCACTATTCACGATCATTGTGTAGGCTTCTTGTCAGCTTGCGCTTAAGCTGACTCAGCTCCCCGTTATGTTCAGAGCCAGATGGAATGAGCTTTCGAGCATCTATCAATGAGATAGATGCTGCTGAGATCCAGTGTTTCTCCTTAACCTTATGGTTTACCGTACTAGCAAACATCGCTGCTGTTTCCACAGCTCTTCGGATATTATTCCATGCTGCCACGAGGTGGGCATCACTTACAGGGCTGCCTAACTGTTTTTCTAGTTGTTCCTGAAATATATTCTTAGCTTGACTATCATTAAGTAGGGCCCTAAGGGGTTTCCTTGCAGCGTCTTTACTACGTCCAGTAAGACACAAACAAATACGCGCTCGCACTAGAGCATGATCTGACTCTAAGCATGTGCTCCAGAATGAGAGACAGTCTTTTATCGAGCCTCTCCATCGGTGGCTGATAGCGATGTAATCTATTTGGGTCCAACGTTGGGACGAATTAGGAGGTCGCCATGTCAAAAGATGTTTGTCCTTATGCTTAAAGTTAGTGTTTGCGAGAAACAGGTGGTTGTCTGAGCATAGCTGCAACAGACGGTCACCGGTATCTGTTCTTTGAGCCGCGACACCATAAGATCCACCCAGGTGTCTTTCCCTTTTGCTTAGTTTACCTACTTGAGCATTAAAGTCACCAGCCACTATTACTACATCTGAACACCTAGCATTTCGGAGAAGGTTAGAAAGCTTTATGTAAAACTCATCTTTTACATTATCTGAGCCGCAGTTAGTGGGAGAGTAGGCAGAGATAACGAACAAGCAACGACGAGTGTTTGAGTCCTTACTGTTCCGTTTAGTCGGACAGAACACAAACGACTGTCTACTGGGATCCAATCTAAGAGAGCTAGTTCTGCCCTAGGACTCAATGCTATACCTATGCCAGCGAAGCCACGGGAAGCAGCATCAGGACTTCCGGATACACGAAGTGTGAATCTAGTTGGTTCTTTATTTTGACATGGTGAGGTCAAATGAATGACACTACTCGGATCTTGTGTGCGCGTTTAGGAGACGCA